TGACGTTTAACTGACACCCAAGCCCAGCCCAGCCTGCTGCTTTTCAGAAACACAGAAGCTGCGTTCAGTGAAACAAACACTTTATGTCCATAAAACAGAGAATTTTGTCCTTAAGTCAGTATGAGTAGGATGAGAGCTCTAACAGAGCGGAATAAAAACAAAAGGAACGAAGGGGGRAAAAAGAACTTTGAAAAGCAGAAAGGTGTCAGTACTTGTGGTTTCTCCACATGATGCAGCTGCAAGTCAAGAACAGCAGCCATAAAACACAACTAAGAGCATCCAAAGGGCGCGCGGCTCTCGCCGAGGCGCTGAAAGCGCCCGCTCCGCACGCAGCGCCCGGRGCAGGGCGCGCGGGGCCGCCCCGGGGCCCGCGGTGGCGGCCGCTCCACAATGGCGGCGCCGCTTTCGCTTCCCCTCAGCGGCCGCTTTCCGGCTCCCGGCCGCCTTTCCCCGAAACCACGTGACGCGGCCGCCCCCGCCGCCCCCGCCCGCCGCGCATGCGCCCCGCCGCCCTTGGGAACGGCCTCCGCCGCAGCGCCGGGGCGGGAGCCGGCGGGGCGGGGCGAGAGCCGAGCGCCCATTGGCCGGGGCGGCGGCGGCGGCGCTCCCCATTGGCCGCGGGGCGGGTATTTTGTGGCGGGCAGCCGTGAGGCGGCGCCGAGTTGTGGTGGGGTCTGCTCGTCGGGTGAGTGCGGAGCGGCGCGGGCTCCCGCTCGTTAACTGTCCCCTCCGGCCTCCTTTGCAGGGCGGTTGCTCAAAGCCACAGCGCGGCCCCGTCCCGTGGGGTTCCTTAAGCAGGGTAAGGTAATAACGACAATAAACAGCGGCTGAGGGGGCTGGCGCGCGGGTGCTGRCTGCAGCACAGCCCCGCTTGCGCTCAGCGACTGCATAATTCCGCAAGGAGGTTGGGAATTTGGTGTGGAAACGCCGTTGTAGCCCCAAGTAATGCCAAGAGAGCGTGTCTGCAGTCGTTACCCGCTCCAAGCGAGCGGAGGCCTCGCTCCTCCTGGGAGCAGGAGTGTGAGGACACGGGGAGGAGCTGGCAGCGAGGCAYGGGAGGTTGCCTGGTTTGCCAGCCCAGCTCGGGGGTCAGCAGGGAGTATATCTGCCCAAAGGCAGAAAAAGTGGGGAAAAAATGCGTTCAGTTGTGGTCATYGGCTTTTTTTGTTAATTCTAAAAACAAGGCGTGCTTGTGTTTGCTGGGAACACTTGTCGCCCATCCAATGTGGCCGTTTTTAATGAAAGCTCCAGCTAAGTGACTTTCTACCAGTTCAGTTCAAATACTAATAACTGCCACTGCTGTATTATTCTTTTTTTTTTTTTTTCCCCAGGATGACTCAGTGGTACCAGCTGCAGCAGCTCGATTCCAAGTTCTTGGAGCAGGTTCACCAGCTGTATGATGACAGCTTTCCCATGGAGATCAGGCAGTACCTGGCGCAGTGGCTGGAGAACCAGGACTGGTGAGCGCCAGGGGCTCCCGAGCAGCCAGCAGGGCATCCTGCAGGCCGGGGACAAAGCTCCGTAGCTTTGTGGTCCTGTCCCTCTTCAGCACCGCTCCTGGATAGCTGGAGCGAGCTGCTGGTCCCTCTCTCAAAGAGCTGTTTTAAGAGTCGCCTTGGTGTCGCTGCTGCTGTTTGCTGGCTTTGCACCCTAACCAAGGTGTCTATGGAGCTTCTGGTAGGAATGTGCAGAGGGACACRTGCATAGGGCTGCCTTTGGGCTTCCTGATGCTCACGGAACGGGGAAATCAAGTTACGGAGTGTGGCATGAATACGTTAGAGGGAAACAGCAATTCTGAGCTGGAGAAAATGCAGCTAGGAGGGAATGGAACTGGGTTACATTTACAAGTAACTCTTACTGCTCGCAAGCTACAACCAGAGTCAGGGAGAAAAATCACACTCTTTGTTTCCTGGATACCTGTTCAAAGTGTATTTAACACAAGCATGCCTTAAATTATTCCAGGGAGCATGCAGCCAACAACGTATCTTTTGCTACGGTGCTSTTCCATGACCTGCTGTCACAGCTTGATGATCAATTTAGTCGGTTTTTGATAGAAAACAACTTCTTGCTGCAACACAACATAAGGAAAAGCAAACGTAATCTTCAGGTATGCCTGGGGCAAATGATTGTGCACTTGCTTAAGCGGGTTCTGCTGTACAATTAAATACCTCTTAGAGGTATCTTGGCATGAGGTATTTCTGCAGATTATGTGAAGCTYAATTTAAGAAGCCAGATGTTAAAGATTGTTCTATTGCTTTCTAATTGTCTACGGTTAGAAGCCGTTTATGAGAACGGTAGAGATAAAGAAAATGTGGGGAAATGGGGTAAGACGTCCTTTCTCTGTAACTACAGAATCACAGCTGATAGCAAAGCACTTATGACTGTCCTGACAGAGGAAATGACCAAATCGGATGCAGAACGTATCCAGAGCTGATTTTGTTGGTTTTTCCTTATCTGGTCATCCCCTGCTGCCTGTTCCTTATGTGCCTGCAGAAGCAGCTCCTGCTTCAAGGCCCCCTTTCCTGCAGCCCCTTCGCACGCACCCGGCTCCCACTGCTGCAGGGGAGGCTTCCTAAGGGGCAGCAGCACCCAGCAGGGCAGCCACAATCCGGAGCACATCTTAGCCCCGTGCACGTAAAGTACAGTGCATGTCCAGCCCTGGCCCTGTTCATAGGCAATTGCAAGCTCCTCTTCACCCTTGTGTCGGGTTGAGGCTCCTCTGTGTGTATTGGTGAAGCAGAATAGCTGGCAAAGCAGAGCTTCACTTTGAACAGCGAGTCACGGCTGCTGTGGGTCACGGTGGCTAAGGCCAGAGGCAGGGTRCGTGCCCTTGGAGGTATTAGCAAGTGGCTGCTGCTTACTAGGCACACTGCTCGAGGACCAGAGGTTCAGGATGTACGTGTTTAACAGGCTGTTTCTGATGGCAGGATCACTTCCAAGAAGACCCAATACACATGGCAATGGTCATCTACAACTGCCTGAAAGAGGAGAGGAAAATACTGAGCAGTGCCCAGCTGTTAAATCAGGTAACTGGAAAGAGCTGCTGTAGCTGCATCTGTCCTTCCTATCGCCTGAGACAAAGCGAGTGGAAAAAGAGACCGAAAGCAGCAGCTGGTCATCCTCCCTCTGCCCTACAGCCCACACTTCCTAAAGGCATGAAKATTATGTGTGGACAAGTATTCATAGGCACTGTTTTTGCAATGTGGCCTGAATCATTTGAAGGAGAAAGAGGCAGGAAGTAGATTTTTCTCCTTTTAAGCAATGTAAAAGCAATTTTTTTTGTCTGTCTTTCTCTGCTGCTGTAGTATAGCTTGATGTGCTCATCAGATTTACAGTTTAACAAATAAGGCCTGCCTTCTCTCTAAGAAGACTTTAACTTTCCTTTCTTCTGCATTTTACTCCCAAATTTACTCTGTACTAAAGAGCTGAACCTTGGTACTTAGCTGGACTGTCTCTGGAATAATGATGCAGTTAAAGAGAAATAACCAAGTTACCTCTCAGTATTTCTAAATAAAGTCAGTTTCCTCTGACTTCTCTGAACTGTAGGTAAAGCCATATTTTTCTCTGCCCTCCTCTGTTCTAATGCCTCAAAAAAACAARCAAAAAACCTGCAGCTACAAGAGTCATGATGTACTCTGTATGGCTCGATGTAATCCACTTGCATAGGACTAAAACATTGGCCAAGCTCACTGCAGTTTGATACCGAAATGCCTTCCTTGCTGACAGATTTTTGGATTTTTGGCCCACATATTGTAGGGAGCGAGGAGGGTGCTCGGTAAGCCTAAGCAAGGGAGCTAATGCCACAGGATGACTGCTTTGAAGCTGCAGCTCTGGCAGAGCCGAGCCAGGTGCTTTGTGGCTGCCGTGCACCTTGTTCTGCTGCACAGCACAGGGCTCGCATAGCCACCCATTCCTGCGTGCCACGTGTTTAGACCATCAAAAAAAATAAATACTCCTACTGTGTACTCATGGTTGACGCTAGGTACAACGTCCCACTCGGCCTCCCAATAAAGTTGTTAACCTGCCAAGTTTGTGAAGATGAAGTGCGAGGCAAGCACAACTGTGAGCATCGTAAAAGGAGAATCTCAAGTGTTAGATTGTGCTTCAGTTGCTTTGGTGATCTGACTTAATTCTACAACAAGGGACCTCTCTCTGTTCATAGAAATAAATTCTGTAAATCAGCTTAAGTTAAAGAACAACCATTAGAAAAACACATGCCAGATGGCCCTATGCTGGGGGAATGATGAGTTCTCAACGTGCCCCGATTACCTTCATGTAGGCCTGTCTTGGGTCCTGCTCTTAGCTTGTTTATGATATTATGTATTAAGTATTATGATAAAAAAGCATAACTACACAAAATGAATTTTTAATCCCCTACGTTCTTTGCAAACTCTCTTGAACTCAGTTATTTTAGAATACAAAACCTTGTTGTGAATTATCAGAACAACCCTGCTTTATTAGCCTATTTGTCAACGAAAGCCACTRCTTTTTCACTACTTTGTGAGGCAAATGCATATTTACTGTTGCTGTTCATCCTGCTATGACCTTTGTTGCTGTTCTGCTTGCCTCCCCCAGATGGAAGTGGGGAGCGTACAGAATACAGTGGTTGGGATGCTGGACAAACAGAAGGAGCTGGATGCAAAAGTTAAGGCTATAAAGAACAGCGTTAGTGTAAGTAAAATCAAATTAGGACTGTATTTGAAGTAGTGCATGCTAGTTTGTAAGTGTGAAAAAAAATTCCAGTGTATGAATTTGGCAATTAATGGCAAATAAAAGAAATTTAGATAACAGTTCTCAATTTTATATCTAATGAGCATATGAAAGCAGCAAGTAATTATTTGTCAGTAGCTTAGTATTGCAGGGTGGGACTTTCTGCATCTGTTCCCTAGAGTATTCTAGGGGTAGCAACTACTTTACTTTTGAGAAATGGTTTTGTGTGCTGAAGTTTTCAGAAAGGAAAATATTTTTAGTGATCTAATAGCAGCATTTGAGGAATAATTTGAATTRTATACTGACTTTCTTGTTGTTAAACAGAAGCTAGATGTTCGATTAGCATATAGATAGTAATTGCCCATAGAACAAGTAAGGTAATGCTTCCAAGCATGGCTTGAGCATGTGACAGTTTATACAAGACATCAGTGCCTGGTCCTGGCCACCTTCTGTAGCCCAAGTTTTCCTAGATTCTGGGGAATTTAGGTGGCTAGACTGTATGAGAGCTTTTCCGTATTTTATTMTAAACAGATTTTTGTTAGCAGAGGAGAGGGAGTGTGAATAGAAGGCAGATAAGCTTAGGGGCAGTTCTTATTAAGCAGGTCCAGAAAGAGCTGTAATGGTAAAACTAAAATAAATTTGCATAAGTAACTGTCAGTAGCCAGTTCCTAACCTTCAGGAAGCCTTGCATTATATGAATGTATTAAATAACTGTGGCCAATTTGCTTCATGCTTTATAGGATGTGGAACAGGACATCAAGACATTAGAGGATGTGCAGGATGAATATGACTTCAAGTGTAAAACTTTGCAGAACAGAGGTGAGAATTTTATGTGGGACAAATTCTATTGCATGCTCGTGGTAAGTGTCTGCTGCCTCACATCTGGAAACATGTCTTTTATACTGAAGTTCCTAAAAATCTGTTCTGTGATTGTTCTTGTGAGAAGACCGCCTGCTTGTTAATGCAATATTCCTTTGCTGCTGGAAATATCCAACCCCATGGACTCTGTCSATTCAGCCACCCAGCCAAATAGCAAAGTCCAGGTTTCTTTTGTTTCACACGCCTTCCACTTCTAGTTTTGTGAGYCCTTATCTGCAAGGAGAAGCACCTGCAGCTGTACTCAGTACTAGTTTGATTGCAGAGATCTGTCTTTGAACACTTACAAAGCTAAGATAGAAAATGCCTTTCTGTGCAGAAACTTCATGTTTCCTCTATGCCCGGAGAAGAAAAATAGTTGAAATAATYAAAGGCTGCTACACTTCTTTCTCCAGAGGAATCTAATCCTGTGCCCATGAGTTAGTGGGATTTCTGGCAATACAGCTAGGGTTCTTTTTATTTTTTTTGCCTGACTACTGTTCTAGAAAGGTTTCAGTTTTCAACATGCTGGCACTTGGCTACCCCTCAGCAGACRTGTTTGGAATAAGCCTTAGAGCCTGGGGGGCAGGCTGCACTTCCGTGAGGCACTTRAGAGCCTCTGACTTCAAGTCAGTAGTCAGCAGCAGCAGTCTCTGGGGAAACAGCTCTGAGGCTRGGCTTACCTTGGGAGGCTGTAAATACTCAGCCTTGAAATAATTATTAACTTCAGGTGCTAGGTGCCAGGTTAAGCAGCATGAGTGATTCATGTTTAAAGTCAGCATGAGAACRAGTTTCTGTTTTGAAGAGACATACACTTACAATCATTATTTTGAACTGGACTTTTGGTATCAGGAAGAAGCAAGCTTGTGTCTGTTACTTCACTAAAAAGGACAAAAGTCTTTGCTTCTCATCAGTGTTCAAGGTTTAGTTTTCATCCTTTCAAAAGGGAGAAAAAGGAATCAAAAAAAAAAAAAAAAAAAAAGCAGGCAGAATTTCCTCCCTTAGGTTTAAGGATTGACTTCAGTTGACATTAGCCAGTTAGATCCCTCTTTCTCTCAGCATTTCCCCCAGCCCTGTGGGGGGACACATCTCATCACTCTCCTCACTGCAATGCCAGGCACTCAGTCTCATCAGACACTCTCTAGATTTTCTGTGCAAACCTGTAGAGGTGCTTCAGCTTTGCAGCAAAAACTTTTGTTTTACAGAACATGAACCCAACGGTGTGTCGCAGGAGGAGTTTAAGAAGGAACAGATGAATCTCAAGAAGATGTTTCTGCTGCTTGACATCAAGAGGAAGGTAGTGCTCTAGTTTTTGTTTCAGAAGACAACAGCACTTCATTTCAAACATACTCATTTTCAGTGGGTTAACATGTCAGATTGCCTGAAGAGAAAAAAAAAAAAACTTGTTTATTGTTATTACTTAAAGTAAGATTTCACGCTTTGCATTATTACTGAAGATCTGGAATCACTTCAAGCTCTTGTGTTTCTCTAGTCCTTGCAACCTTCCTTTATCAGTGTCAGATAAAGCTGAGGAAAAAAAACACAAATGAAAAGAAATCATTAGCCACGTTCTCAAGGGGAAAATAGCTGAAGAAATATAGCACATGTTGAAATTGAATGTGCTCACTAATTTTGCAGTACTGTAATCTAGCAAGAACTAGGTGATGCTGTTACCTCCTTAGAGGTCACTCTCCTCTGAAGAGTTAACATCTCATGTATCGCTAGGAAAAAAACATCATTTTTACATTCCATGTAGTAAATACTCCAGATAAAAAGGACTTCAACATCTTTTGGACAGTAGCTGTTACTTCAGGATCCTTGCCAAGTTTTGCGAAACGGTTGTTCTTTAAGAGATACCTTTATAAGCAGGTTAATCTCATCCTCTCTAGGAAGTGGTGAACAAGATAATACAGCTGTTGAACGCCACAGAGCATACTCAGAGTGCTCTTATTAACGAGGAGCTGGTGGAGTGGAAACACAGGCAACAGACTGCATGTATTGGTGGCCCACCCAACGCCTGCCTTGACCAGCTACAGAACTGGTAAGCCACCATGCAGCAGCTCCACTGCACRGAATGCTTTAAAGCATGCTAGGAAGGAGCACCACATATGCCAGATGCGCTGATTATTTTTCTATAGTCCTTAGGGAYAAGCATCTGGCCACTGTACCAGCATGGTAACAGAAGCAAAACATGCTAAAAATAAGGCTCTGTAATTGTAGGTTCACCATTGTTGCTGAAAGTCTACAGCAAGTTCGTCAGCAGCTCAAAAAGCTGGAGGAACTGGAGCAGAAGCTTACATATGACCCTGATCCTATCACAAAAAACAAGCAAGGTCTGCAGGACCGAACATACAGCCTTTTCAAACAACTGATCCAGAGGTAAGAGACAAGACAGATCTTTTGTCATTGTGGCAATGAATGCATGGAAGGCTCCGTCAACATTCATTTTTAAAGATTTACTCTGTAGGCCTGTAGAGAGAGTTCACAAGCTGCCGTCACCTAAGTCAGTGYGTACCTGCTGCAGCAGCACTGTTAACAGGATCAGGTTCCTAGGCTGTTAGTTTATTTCTTGCTTTAAGCCCCAGACCTGCCAGTAAACTTAAGTGAACAGACAAAACTCACATCTGTAACCAGCAGTGCCCAAGATAAATGTGCTCTAGACTCATCCTCCTTGATGACACTCTGGGGAGTCCAGCTGTACCTCTCTACAGGCACTTTGGTGCTTGTAGATGCCTCCACTCAACAGTCTCAGTCTGTAAATATTCAGTTGTCAATAATTTGTGCTGCGAGAAGACTTGGAAACTAGCAGGCAAGAACAGGGGCTTATCTACAGTAGGTGACCACCCACTATGTGGGGCCTAAACAGTGAAAAACAAGACTTAGAAAGCCAAAGTCCCTCTGAATGCTTGGTGTATAGTTTTCAGTAGCAAATCCCTGGGCAGTGCAAGGTGAAAGAGGGATGCTGGGTGCATCGGAATAGGCCAACCTCAGGAGTTCACATCCCGCTGGGGAGAGCTGGCCCTCATGAAATCTCGTGCTATTCCCTCTAGATCTGTGTTGCTAAAAAGCACTGTCACACTATACCTGTAAGAATTTAGAGGATGACAAAAAATCCTCTGTGAAGTAATGTTCCTCACTTTCAAATGATGCTAGTGCCATCACAGCATTTACATGCCATTGATTTCATGGAAGTTTGAAGTAGCCCTCCCTCCTCTTAGCCCTTTAATGTCTTTAGAGAGAGAGAAAAAAGACAACCCTTATGAGATCATTTATATTTTCATTCCTCTTGAAATAAGGAACAAATAAATCCATGCACAGACACTACACAGCTTGAAACAATGTGTTGATGAAGCGGAGAGTAGTACCAGAAAGTCACCTTAAAAAAAGTTTCTTTGTTCATTTCTTCTGCCTTGAAGAAAATGAAATTTTCATCTGTTTTTTCCATAGCTCATTTGTGGTGGAGAGGCAGCCTTGCATGCCAACACATCCTCAGAGGCCTCTAGTCCTAAAGACTGGAGTACAGTTTACAGTGAAGTTGAGGTACGTTTCCCCTCCCCTGCTTGTCAGTAAACCTTTCATTTCTTTGACTTCCTATATCTGAGCGTCTTGCACCCTTACATGGTAGGTTGGTTACCCCAGTCAGGGCAGGAAGAAGGAAAGACAGAGGATGGCTTCTCTCAAAGCTCAATTTGCACTTAAGTTTTCACCCTTTTTTAGATGCTACGGTGATTGAATGTATGCAAACACACCCAAGTAGCCAACCACATATACAGGCCACTATCATGAGAAAAAACAATTTTTCGGTCTGTTTTTATCTTTAGACAAGGGAAGTAGCAGCGGTACCTATGGGTGCTTTTCGGATTTATTCTGCCACTACATCTGTACCATCTTGTGTGGAGCAAGCTTGGGACCCATACACAGCCTTGAGCTGTGCGTTTCAAATACAAACTCTGATAAGCAGTGCTGCAAAAGAGAAGTTGTTTTGTAACAGGACTTTTTTTGTTTGTTTTAATTTCTCTTTCCAGATTGCTGGTGAAGTTGCAGGAGCTGAATTACAACTTGAAAGTGAAAGTGCTGTTTGATAAGTACGTTGCGTTTTTCTCCTCTCTGGGTACGCTAATGGGGAGCAGGCCCTGTGCTGAAAACTGCACAAGGCAGCTGTGGTTTTGTGCTGGAGTTACCCAGAAGCTGCGCTCCCTCTTAGCAGCGTCAGCCCAGAGCAGGGAAGAGCTCAGCTTTGAGCTCAGCTCAGCACTCTATGAACCTGGGCACAGGAGGAGCACCCTGCAGGGCGCCTGCTCCCCTCGTGCTGCTGCAGAGCTGTTCTAGCTGCTAGGCTGGGTTTTGCTTGGGCTAGGGTTAGCTGAAAGCACAGCACAAAACTGCTGCAATTCTGTGCAGCTTCCCTGCTTTACAGGGGCTTCTTAGCTCAGGGGGTGTTCAAAACAGCTCCAAGGCCCAGAAACTTGCCCGGGAGGGCAAAGAATTCTTACCGGGATCTGGAATATGAGCGTTTGAGAAGTGCATCACGTTAACTACATGACTTGGTAAAATAAAGGTGGGAGAACTGATTCAAGTGATGCAGTAGTTTCTTCAAACCCTATGAAAGCAGGTTTGAAAGGAGAGAGACCCTGCAGAGATGGAGCCTGTGCAGTGGAAGGACAGTGTTACTTCCATAAAGCCACCCTAACAACTCAAGCCTTAGTAGGATGGCCAGTATGATGCGGTGCCTTGTCTGCCAGAGCCCATTGCCTTCTCTTTTGCACAAAAGAAAATAAAAGTTCACAGAGGCGTTTCACCATTTTCAGCTGTCAGCTACTAAAACAAATACCCACGTTCTCTGCCTGCAGAGGTTCTGAGAGATTTTAGTTTATTTTTTCTTTTCTTGACAGAGACGTGACTGAGAAGAACTCTGTCAAAGGGTACGTGGCATCGTGTCTTTATATATTGGTCTTGGGTAATTTCAGTAGATTTGAGACTCCTAATTCCTTTTCTTCTTTGTGAAGGTTCAGAAAATTTAATATTTTGGGAACAAACACCAAAGTAATGAACATGGAAGAATCTACTAATGGAAGTCTAGCAGCAGAATTCAGACACCTGGTAGGGGGACTTCTTTTTTTTCCCTTATTGCCACATCTGATTATGCAGGCAGAGGGTGTTGTAAGAGGAGAAGTTTTTTAAGATTGAAGTCACTGTTTACTTTTGTATTAGAGGAAGTATGAAGTTCTCAGCTTTTTTTTCCCTTCCCTTTTTGAAATCTTTGGCTTGTTCCAGCTGTAGTACTTACTTTTGATCCTGCAATGTGGCCGGAAAGGCAAACAACAGTATTTGCTGTTCTAATGTCTACATTGTAGCAGATCCTCTAGAGGAGGAAGGGTAAAGAAGCTTAGAAATGCTGGTTTGGACCCTCTAGAGGTAGGAAAGCTTCCAGTATCTTCAAGTTGTTCAAGACTGGAAAAAAGAATTGCACAAGGAGGGACTGCTACAAAGTCAGTGCAACATAGTTGCTGTGCTGATGCAAGCCAGCTAGATGGGTTGCATCATAAGGACTGGAAGGGAGCTTGCTTGCAGGGCAGCAGCAGCTGCCGTGGAGTTCCCCTTCCTTTCCTTGTCCAGTGCAGTTCCTGACAACATCGAGAGTTTACAGTCAGATTCAGAGAGGTGCCTTGGTAAACAGCTATTTCATCTGATCCTTCCTGTTTCTGTTCCTGCAAGGCCTTTCATACAGATGCGCTGCAGCGTAAGGCTGCAACATCTATTTTCACAGATGAACACTGACTGGTTACCTGTAATTAATCCTGTGTCTTCCACAGCTTTGAGCCCAGGAGGTTCAGGCTCTAGTGCAGCAGGTCTCCAGTTAAGCAACTGAGACATGCAAGCATTTGCATCCCCTATGCAGCCAAAGTACATGAGTGATTTGCTTATTTATTTTGGTTACAGCAATTGAAAGAACAGAAAAATGCAGGAAACCGAACAAATGAGGTAAGTGACACTTCAGTGGTAGTGCTTTTGAATAACCACGGGAGTTGAATGCTTAAGACAGAGCTCTGCTCAGCACCATGAAGAAACACAAAGGATGGGACACTAACAGCAAAGGAGTTCAACATTTCTAGGAAACTGTCTGCACAGAAGCCTCCAGAAAAGGGAACTGTGCCAGAGCATTATCTCCTGGACTTCTCCCTCACTGGCAGCCAGCTTTAATGGGCTTTCTGCCAGTGAGATTTCTCTGTGACTTCCAGAGAGCAGCCATAGAAGGGCTGCTTAGAGAGTTCAAGAGGCAAATTGACTGCAGGGAGTGACCAGCAGCTCTTGACTGCGACCTGCAAACTTTCTGAAGGCTAGAGCAAGGGGGCCCAGAAATGTGAGCATTCCCCAGGCTGGGAAGGTTTTGCCGTGGTGAATTCCTCCTACCCCCAGAGGAGAAGACTTTTTAGCAGAAAGTTACACTGCTGATAAAGCGTCTTGTTAAGAGGTAAGCCAGAAAAAAAAAACACTATACAAACTGTACCCTGTGATACCAATTTTAATTCCTTGCAGCACTCATTCAAATGGCTCAGGAAAGCATGATTTATAGGGGAGTTAATCAATATCACTATCAGATACCAAAAAGAACAATTCTGCAGTACCAATTCAGCTGAAATAATCCAGTAGGACAATAATAGTGTGTGTTTCTGAACATTATTTAACTCAGGAATAGGAAGAGATAGGAAGGCTACCATCCTCAAATGAATGTTTCAGATTTTTAGTTAGTTTTAATGATTTATTTTTTTCTTTAAAGGGCCCTCTCATTGTAACAGAAGAACTTCACTCTTTGAGCTTTGAGACACAGCTGTGCCAGCCTGGCTTGGTAATTGATCTAGAGGTATGTTTATGATCTAGAGGTATATGTATGTATTTAAATATATATGCATAATATATACATAAATACATATTAAGCACTTTCAGTTATTTCCTAATGCATGAATGACATCCACAACATCTCTGTATAGCAAGAATGCTCTGCACTCTGTGTGAGACGCAGGGAATCATACTTTAAAATATCTGGAAACTAACTGTGAGTTCTAATTCTCTGCATATCAGCTTACATTATATGGAAATTAGCATATAGACTATGTTATTAGTTTAAAAAAAAAAGAATATTAAAGTTGATGTTTGATAATGGCTAAGAAGTCACTTGAATCTCCCTTTCTGCTACGGCATATTGAAATTCTCTGTGCCACATACAAACTTCAAGTGGAAAAGCTGAGTTACGATCACATGAGCAGGGTATTATAATGGAAACTCATTTGTAGATAGTCTAGAGGAGGACTGCAGCAAGAGTGTGACATGTTTCCTCTCCTGTCTTTCAGACCACATCTCTTCCCATTATTGTGATCTCAAATGTGAGCCAGCTTCCCAGTGGATGGGCTTCCATCTTATGGTTCAACATGCTCTCTACTGATCCCAAGGTATTTGCAAAAAAACACCACACACCAAAAACCTTCACCCTTCTTGGTCCTTTTTATGTGGAAAAGCTTGGACAGTCCTTAGTTTTATATCACAAATACTATGTGTGGTTTTCAAAGATTGACTTTATACAACTGCTTATGCAGTTTTCCATACAGATGACTTCCTTCATGATTATATAATTTAAAGGGAAGCCAGCAAATTATTTTCCTCCATCACAGGAAAAGCTGCATTTGAAACGTGTAGGGATATTAAACATAGTATTTGCTATACAACAAGAAGCCAGATACACGCTAGAGAATTCAAATTCACTGGAATTGATTAATCTAAGCCTTCTCCTATTGGGTTAAGAAAGAATGTCCAAGAGAAAAAGCATCAGAATGCATCTCTCACTTTCAGGTCCATCTCAAACTGACTTCCATTCCTAAATCCACTTCTTTTTTTTTTTTTTTTTTTTTGGTGGGCTGCACTTTTTCAAAGCTCCATTTCTCCCTCCCCCCATTCCAAAATTGACTTCTTTATTTTGCCCTTCTGTTCTAGAACTTGTCTTTCTTTCTGAATCCACCTTACGCAAAGTGGTCTAAACTTTCTGAAGTTTTGAGCTGGCAGTTTTCTTCTGTGACAAAGAGAGGACTTAATGCAGATCAGTTGAGCATGCTGGGAGAGAAGCTGCTTGGTAAGGTCTTATCTTAGCACTTTGTATATTTAGTAGAACCAAAAGGATGGCCAGTTTCTATTGATGCTGATTCCAGGTATTTTCTGCATTTAAGATTTTTACTTCTTCCCAATTCTTTTCCCTTAAACTCTATAACATGCAATAGTGTTTTTCTGTCTTTGGTAGGATAGTGTTCAGAAGCAAGCAAAATGCAGCATGAAACAGGATACAATTCACATACTGCTTTTGCAGTGTGAAATTTGACAGAATCTTGGTTTCATACTAACAGTATGAGAGAAGCTTCTTAATTATTTCTTCAGAGATATGAAAAGGAAAAAACAAAAACAAAAAGCCCTATTTCTGTCATAACTTATATGCAATCTCTAGTCAGTGCTAGGAAGAAGTTGCAGCAAGGGCTGCAAAGACCTTGTTACTCTAATCACAACATAAAACTTCTTTGTGGGTAAGAACTGACTGCAGAACATAGTTGACATGATTGAAACAGGAGGGAAAACACACTTGATTGTGACAGGAATGAAAAGACCTCCCTGCTCCTGGCAGGTCTAAGCCAGAGGTTCTGGAGCACAAGTCACCAGGACTGACACAGCAAAAGTGCTAATCTGACGATGATGCTGTGGCCTACTAAGCTCCTGCAAAAGGGCATTATGCCTTGCACTTTTCTTGTTTCGCTGAAGGAGAAGGGTGAATAATTGGGATCTCTCTTCTGGATGTGTTCCAAACTGAGGAGTGCTATGCATGACAGTAGCAGATGTCAGAATGGATTAGATCCCCTTATGTGAGGTCCCTGTTGCTCTGTGTGGCTGTTAACGCAGATTTTTGTCATGCTGATGCAGTGAATGTTTCCTGAGGGAAGCCTTGCGAGCCTCTGTGCTCTCCCTGCTTTAGCCACAGAAATGCAGAAGCTGTTCATTTCTGTCTTAGGCTAAGAGTTATACATAAACCATTCAGCTCCTGGTGCTATGGGTAACTTTCTGTAAGTGACTTAATGTGGCTGAAGTCAGTTTATTCTGTTTGACAGGGCCAGCAAGTGGAGGAGCTCATGATGGCCTTATTCCTTGGACAAGATTCTGCAAGGTATGAACCATTTAGATTGAGACAGGAGACAGAGCTTTGGTCCATTTGTGAGAATTTTTGGTAGTTTTTACTAGTTAACTTTATTAAAACTAGTTTGTTTACTAGTTTTTACTAGTTAACTAGGAGTTCCTGTTGTTTAAAGCCACAATGAAATAAGTTGAACACCCAAGAGCTCCAGTGAGAGCAGCATCCAGACTCTCCCCAGATCCCTTTCTGCATTCTTGGCCTAGTACAGCTGCACGAGAGGTGTCTGATCACATTTGTGGGTGCCAGAGTCTCAGGAAGGCCTGACTTTATGCTGCTGCTTGCCCTAAGATTGAGTGTATGCTTCCTTCCCAACAGCATCATAGCTCCTATCCCTTTAGAGTAAACTAAAGGGAAGTGGGAGAAGCAAAGAATAGGAAGGGGAAAGTGGGGGAAAAAATAGGGAGGAAATGCACAAAAGCAGGGTGTTGGTAGCTGTCAGAGCAGGACTAGACCAGTTGGGATAAGAGGTCTGTTGGCTTCCCTGTCCTCCACACACTTGAGACTCATATTTCATTATCATCATTCTTCCCCTTCCCCCTTCTCTTTCCATCCTCTGAATTTCAGGAAAATATAAATGATAAAAACTTTCCCTTTTGGCTGTGGATTGAAGGAATTTTGGAGCTCATTAAGAAGCATCTCCTGTGTCTCTGGAATGATGGGTAAGGCACAAGTGGAGTTCAAAGATGTGGTCATTGGCTCAAGCCTTTCACTTAGGCTAGCAACTGCACCTTAGGCTTTGACCTTGTGTGTGCTGTTATTTTGGGTGGAACAAAGTGGTACCTGCATCCAGAGAAGTTTGAGGGAACAACATTATAATAGTGATGACACCTCTATTAAGGCAACTGCTTGAGTAAGTGTCAGACTATCACCTTATGTGCCACTAAACCCACAGAGCAGTGCCTTGAACATTGTTTTCATCTCCCTTTGAACTATATCGTTTCTTCTCACTCTAGAAGAGACCCTTTTTCTGCTTGTCAGGGAAGACTCAAGTACATAGAATAATTCATAAAGAAGTTATCCGTATTAAAAAAAGCACACCACCACTCCCAAAAAGCTCAACATTTGTAGGTGGCAACAGCCAAACTCTGGAACTTTATGACAGTAGCAGGAGTGCAGAAGTTAATCTTCACTGATTTTTCAATTAGAAAGGAGTAAGACTGACAATTCTCCATCTTACTTCATTCAGCATTCACACTCCCAGCTCCTGTTTTTCCTAGTCTCATCTGTTTGCTGTACAGCCTTGCTTCATTGCCTAAAACACAGCGAGCAGCTGACAAGCACACAGCAGAACTCAGCACACATCAAATCCAGAGGTGCCCGGATGCCTTGAGCCTGTGTTCCTGCCTGCCCTGTGTGCTTTGCCCAGCTGGGAGAGCTCTACTCCAGCTGTTTCCCACTTACATCCATGAGCCAGGTAAAGCCAAGCTCAGGCATCCCTGCTCAGCATGGGACTGTGCCCCTTCTGAGGGCACAGAGGGGCCTCTCTCCTGCTGAGCACAGCAGGAGCAGTGCAGGGAGCCCTGCAGCTCCTAGCAGACCAAGCAGCTTCAGAAGTTGAATTAAAAAACCTCAATATTACAAAATACATAGTATTAGTTTGGATAGTGACCCCCTTTGTTTGCAAAGGGCTAAGCAGTACAGCCTCAAGAAAACTTGCCTGCCTTCTGCTTCAGACTAGGGCAATAGGAAGGCAAGGGCTTAGCATTTAAGTAGACATTTGCTACTCATAGAGTACACTTGTTAACTAAACCATGCTTAAAAAAAATAACAGAAATAAGACACAGCTTACAGCTCTTGAAGTGATAACTATATCACTTAGTAGTTTGTGTACAGAGTACGTTCCCTAGCTTAGCATATGGTTCCTGTATATAACTTCATAGACTGTTTTAAGGAATAAAGAGTTCAAAGAAGTTCTGATTTTTAAAAAGAGGGCATTTAGGGCTTGGCTAGGGGTGTTTATGAGCAGGCACTGGTCTGTACAGTCTCTTCCCCAGGAACTGTTCAGCGAGGACCAGTCACTGTTACCACGTTCGTGTGGTCAGTGAGCACAGGGAATATCAGTAGTTGAAACAGCACAGGCAGAAGACCTTCTTGGAGAAAGATGGACAAGGAAATTCAAACAAAGGCAAAAAAAAAAAAAAAGCCACAAAAGCAAAAAAGCACCACTCCCCCACACAGTCTTGCCTGGATGCAACCAGATAATAGCAAAGTTTAGTACATAGCTGCCAAAGACAAAAGCAGGTCTTAACTTTAACCTCACTTTAGGGCTAAAGCTGCTCTCTAGCACATGACCACAGTACGCACCCACAGCTTGAGTCCTCTTCCCGTATCCCAGTTTTGGTAGCAACAGTGAATTCCTTTATTTATAGCTCAAAGGAGCAACCAGGCAACAGGGAGAGATTCCTGGCTTCTGTGGTGCGACTCCAGCCTGGCAGTGTTAATGCTACTGGCTTAGCAGTTCCCACAACAAAACTACATGTGAGATGGCCAGGGGCACCTTAGGGGTTTAAGTGCTAAGAGCTTTCTACTTTTGCATGTAGACTGGTACGGGTTGGGTTTCACGCTGAAGGGTAAGGTTTTTTGGTTTTTTTCTCTCCTCTTTTCTGCATTACAGCTGCATCATGGGTTTCATCAGCAAAGAGAAAGAACGGGCTTTGTTGAAGGACCAGAGTCCAGGGACGTTTTTATTAAGGTTCAGTGAAAGCAGCAGAGAGGGAGCGATCACATTTACCTGGGTTGAAGGCTCTCAAAGCGGTAAGCCAGTGACAGAGAATGTTTTTGGTTTCAAAGTGGGTGTCAGAACAAGGTTTTATGCTCTTTCACACTGAGCACCAACACAAGACACCACCCTAGTGGCACCACCTTTAAAAGCAGCAGGCCCCAAACCACAGCAGGCACATACCTTAATCCAGCTTGGTGTGTGCTGCAGCAGCCAGAACCCAGCTCAGAGCTGCAGCCAGGACTCAAAACGCTTCTAAGTTCATCTTCAACAACCACCTAGGCTGAAAATAGTAACTGCCTAGGCTGCCTTCTTCAGCCTAATTAAGATCCCACTTCTCAACACAGTGTTAGCACATACACATCCCTGTCTCCCTCTGTACCCTTAGCACTCTCCTGCTGAGAGACTTCTCTCACGTGCAGCCCATTGTAGCTGTTCCCCATGGTCCTGGGCTTCATCTTCCTTCCATCCCTGAGCCGCCACATGTGGTCCTTCCTTGCCCTGTTCTCCCCAGGGAGAGACACTCACACACTCACACTCACACACTCACTTTTACTTTGTCCAGTGGTTCTCCTTGCTCCTGCTTCCAAAGAGGTCCACATGCACTCCTCATTAGCTGCGATGTTTCTCTCACTGTCTTTCAGAGCCCTTATAAATACAGAAGCTTCTGCCTTTTATTAGGGCCCTCACCCTCATCATGCTGCCTAAATCAGCTCCATCTGCCGGGGTGCCACAGCTGCTGGCACCCCATTTGGCCAAGATCTGCAACAGCTGTGGAGAGGAGCTGCTTAGCATGATTGTAGGGCCTCCTGCCTTTCCTTTGCTACCTCCTGAAAAAAGAAGGAAGGGCACATAGACCTGAGGGGAGCCTTTATCTTGCGCTCTTTCCATGAGAGCTCAAGAGGTCTATCAGGATCAAACTTCCTAGTGGGTAATAATGTCYAACAGCCTCCTTTGGAAGAGGCTGGAAAGGACTCTGCAGGAACTGATGGCGCAGCTGGCACTGCAGACACACAGCAGTGAGTTTGCCGGAGCGGTGACCCCAAAGCGTGCAGAGAGGGGTGCTGTCCCCTCTCCTGCCTTGCGGAGCAGTGCCGCTCACCCTGAAAGCGGCTGCTGGGAATGCCTGGCTGCAGCTGGGCCCGCCCCAGGAGCCTCCTGCCCTCGTGAGGGGTCGCGCGGCGGCGCCGGCCGCGAGGCGTTTTCCACGGACATTCCCCATGGGAATTGTCGCCTCTCGCCTGCAGAGCCCCAGTTCCACTCGGTAGAGCCRTACACCAAGAAGGAGCTCTCTGCTGTCACCTTCCCCGATATCATCCGCAACTACAAAGTGATGGCGGCCGAGAACATTCCCGAGAACCCGCTGCGCTTTCTGTACCCGGACATACCCAAGGACAGCGCCTTTGGCAAGTACTACTCRCGCCCGAAGGAGGGTGAGTGTCCCGAGCAGTGTCGGGCCGGCGCGAGGGGTGCGTCCGGGGCTGCGTGGCACAGGAGGAAGGAGCAGCAGCTCATCCCAAGGTTCAGACTGCCCCTTGTGCTCCGGAGCGCCTCGGATGAGGCACAACAGCAGCGGAGCAACTTAGGGTGGCGAAAAGGACTCGGTGTGAGAAGGTGGCCRAGGAGGCCAATGGGCTCCCGGCTGCATGAGGAGGACGTTGGCAGCAGGGCAGGGAGGGGATCCTGCCCCTCTGCTCAGCCCTGGGGAGGCCAAACCTGGAGCCCTGGGGACAGCTCTGGGCTCCCCAGCACAGGAGGGACGTGGAGCTGCTAGAGAGGGGCCAGCGCAGAGCGATAGGGATGATGAAGGGAATGGAGCAGCTCTCGTGTGAGGAGAAACTGAGCGAGCGGGGCCTGTTTAGCCTGGAGAAGAGAAGGTTGAGAGGGGATCTGATCAATGGGTACAAACACCTGAGGGGAGGATGTAGGGCGGAAGGGGCCCAACTCTTCTCAGTGGTGGCCAGTGCCAGGACAAGGGGCAATGGGGACAAGCTGAAACCCAGGCAGCTCCATCTCCATGTGAGGAGGAACTTGTTTGGTGTGAGGGTGCCCGAGCCCTGGCCCAGGCTGCCCAGGGAGGCTGCGGAGGCTCCTGCTCCGGAGATCTCCCAACCTGCCTGGATGTGACCGGGTGCCCCGTGCTCTGGGTGTCCCTGCTGGAGCAGGGGCTGCCCTGGATGATCTCTAGGGGTCCCTTCCAACCTCAACCATCCTGTGATTCTGTGATCTAGGGAGGTCAGAACGAGGTTRTTTCGGTGCCTCTGACTTGGCTCTCGTGTCTGTGTCACGTCCCCGAGACACGAGGCACCGCAGAGCCCGCACTGAGGCTGGCAGGGTTGGTGCCCCACTTACTGTGGGGGACCCACAAGGAGGAGAAACCCATGAAGTGATTAACCAAAGTGCTGGAAACCCTATGGGAGGAGCCTGTGGTCTTAGCTGGGCCCTTAGCTTTATGTCTGGAAAAGTAAAGGTGACAACATGAAGCAGCCTGGCTGAAAACAGCTGCTGTTTTATTGATGCCTTTGTTTTTCTCTCTCCGTGAAGCRCCAGAGCCTATGGACTTGGATGGGCCCAAGGGAAATGGCTACATCAAGACTGAGTTAATCTCCGTATCTGAAGTGTGAGTTTGCCCAAAATGCTGGGTTTCTAGGAACTGAGCCTAATTTTGCAGCTGTGGTTCACATCTGCATAACCTTAAGGTGTGATTGTCCCTGCCACAGCGTCCTTCCTTTCTGCTAAGGCTTGAGAATGTGGTCACAGCACTTGTGATTAAAATAGGGAGCCTCTTTGGGCGAAGCYCCTAGAAACTGAGCGGCAGCTGCAGTGACAAACGGTTCCTTGCAAAGCAGCCTCTGGAAGCGGTGGCCGCAGTTTCCGGCTCCCGTGGAGCCTTTGCRGCCCGTTCCCGCGCGAGCTCCGTAGCGGAGCTGCGGCCCTGGGGGCAGCCTGCGCCCTGCGTGACCRCCCTGCTCTTCCCCCAGGCACCCTTCGAGGCTGCAGTCCCCGGAAAACCTCCTGCCCATGTCCCCGGAGGAGTTCGACGAGGTGTCCCGCATGGTGGGCTCTGCCGAGATCGACACCGTGGTAGGTGCCGCCAGCGCGTCCGGCGGGCGCCGCTGCAGCCGTGCGTGGCGTGAGGTGGTTCCCCGCAGCGGCGCCGGGTGTGGGGCGGGAGGGCCCGCCGCCTTTCCATGCGGGGAGGTTGTGGCACCGGGGCTGTCCATGGCAGGGCTGGTGCTGACAGCCTTTCCTCCTTTCCTCCCTCCTTTCCTCCCTCCCTCCTTTCCTCCCTCCCTCTCTCCTTCCTTTCCTCCCTCCCTCTCTCCTTCCTTTCCTCCCTCCCTCCCTCCTTCCTTTCCTCCCTCCCTCCCTCCTTCCCTCCTTCCTTTCCTCCCTCCCTCCGCAGATGTGCTCGGCGTACTCAGCGTAAGCGGCAGCCCCGCAGCCCTCGCCGGCTGCCCTGGGAGCAGCGTCCCCGCTGGAGCACCCGTCCTCTTTCGCTTGCAAGTTCCTTGTCACAGATTTGCCGAGACGCTGGGCCAGAGCCTCGGAGGAGAGGGGATGCTCCTCTTTCCAAGAGAGGAGCAGAGAAACCCCCAGGAAGAACTGGGTGCAGGTGGGAGAAACGCCTGTTTTGTACAGCAGAATAGCCCAATGTAGCGTTCAGAGTAGCTGGCTGTACAGGGAAGGCTGCGAAGGAAGCCGGCTCTGTCAGGACCTGCTCCGAAGGCCGGCAGCGCCGGCCCCTTYGGCTCCCAAAGACCTCCTGCAGCTTCCAGTTTTCTTCCAGGGCCCAGAACGGGGAGCAGAACCCCCTGTGCAGGAACTGCGTGTACCGAGTCTGTGCATGGACGTCTCCCCTGGCTTCTCATCTTACTGCTGTGCAGCAGAATGTCACCCACAAAGCACCTGCCTTTCATTTCTGCTCCCTTCTTCGTGAAAGGTCGTTGAATGGCTTCACACCATCTTTTTTTTCTTAAGACGTATTTCTTGGASAACACCTCCGATTAGCTGCCGTGGAGCACAGGGGCCACCAGCCTGCTGCCCCTGACCCGTTACTCCCCTTCCTTAGCCTACCAGGGTGGGATGTGGTCACTGGTGTCACTGCCTGGCTTTGGTTGCAGGGGTCAGCCCAGCACGGAGATGTTTCTGCAGGGGCCACCAGGGCAGTTCTTGCACGGTGGCTTTGGCAGCGGGCGCTGCTGCGGCCGGGAGGAGGCGCAGGGGAGCCCCTGGGCAGGGAGGGCTGCAGGAGCCGCAGGGTCCGGCCGGAGCCGCAGGGGCCGGCCGGAGCAGCCCCAGCGGAGGCTGCTGCTGGCCACCTGCCCGGATACCAGCCCATCGCGGAGCCAACGCTGCCTCTGTCCAGCAGCAAAGGCCTCCTCAGCACCTAGCGCAGGATCTCAGAGCGGCAGCTCGTGGTCGTGCTCTCGACACAGCTCCCGCTTCCTGGGCCTTCCATATTTCATCGAGGGGAGACAAGTTTTCTGGGGGCATTTAAAGCAGCAGCCTCGTACCCCGTGGGTTTGCCTGCAAGTAGAGAGTAGTTCTAGAAGCAGCGGTGTTTGGGGTTGTGCCTGCTGCAGAGGAGGACTATTTCTTTAGCCATTTAAAATAAACAGAAGTGTCTGTTGGCACTTGTGTCCGTCCCTTGTGTTCTGGTCACTGCTCYGAGACCCTCGTGCATCTTTGAGCCTCCTGCACGCTCTGCTTCGGCCTGGGCGAGCAGGGCCAGCTCCCACCTAAGGCCAGAGCCMGGTTTTAATGCAGCCAACACGTCCGCGCCGCAGCCAGCCCCTATAACCTCCCTCTGCCCYCCCTGGGGAGCAGGGCGGCTTTTCGGGAGAGGCTTCGCAGGCGKCGAGCCCCCCGCGCTGCTCCCAGCTGCGGCCGCCCCAGCACGGAATGAAAACCACMGCTGCCTTTGGGGATCCCATTTATTACGCTGTAAAAAGCAACATCGCCTGGAGAGTATTTCTTAAAATAAATAACTTTCATTTGCAGAACCAGTACAGCTCAAATGTAGATTCGTTCATGGGAAGCTGCTAGAAATACATTCATCACTGTCTAGYCCCCACGGTACAGAATCTCGAGTCGAGATCAGCCCAGCCAGGTACAGTGAGCAGAAACACCCTGCCAGGAAGCGCGGGCACTGGTAGTCCAGCTCCAAAGCAAGGAAAAAAAGGGGAAAAAATAAAAGAAACAACAGAAAGCTGGTACAACGCCTTTCGTTCACAGAGATAGGCTAATTAATGCTAAGACTAGCACAATATTTCTGTGTACAAAGCATTAAGTTAGCTTAACCACTTTGGTTCGTGGTACAGAAGCACATACAGACATTCAAACGAAGGAGTGGGGAGAAGAAGCCTCTTTGGAGCATAAGGAAGCAGCATCGGGTGGGACAACCCAAAGCTTTTTACTCAGGTCAGAATTCACACGTCAGTGTCATGAGGGATGAGCAGCCGAACCAATGTACTGCATCGAGGGTGAGTAACTCCGGACAGCACTAAAGGGGACACGAATGCATCGACGCAGCGAGTCCTCTCAGCACGAGAAAATACCAAAGCCAGCAGAAATGCGCTGAGGCTGAGCCTGGCCACAAGCAGGCGGCGGCATTCAGGAAAGCTGGAAGTCCAGGGACAGCCATGATCTTTATGCAACTCCGTTAAAATGCCTTTTTTTCCCCCTCTACTATATATGTGTGTGTGAGAATATGTGGTGTATATATCTAMCTTTTTTTTTTTTTTTAATGTCTCTTTGTGCAATGCAAATTTAATTTTAGTTAAATAAAATTAGGTATTTTTCTGAAAATCTAGAGGATATGTTTTCTTAGGAGAAAAAAAAACAGGAAAAGTTAGATTGGCATTGAGATGGAGAACACTACAGTCCATCTGAAGGACTTGATTCTTCCATAATTTTCTAAATTTTCCTAAATTTTGGTGGATTTCTTGCCAGCAAAGATAGGCAGGGATTTAGTTTAGGGTGCAAGAGGGGAGAAAAAAAACAGGGAAAAAAAAAAAAAAAAAACCCAGCCTCGTGCTACTCAGTCATGGCCAGTCAGGCCCAGTAAGGAGCTAAAGGCCCTTTCAAGGCCATTTTTTTCATCTCGTTCTCAGGTGGAAGTGACTCAGGACACACAGACCATGAGCTGGGAGGTGCTCCTGGGCTCCAGGCTCCCCCTTGGACTCGGCCCCTCCTTGGAGCTCCTCTCCACGGGCTCCTCCCGGCAGGAAGCTTGGCCGAACAACCCCTGGAGCGCGTCCCCACACAGGGCCATGGACAACTCCCACCAACATCGTCCTTCCACAGCRGTAATAGGGGCACAGGATTGGGTAGAATTATTATTATTTTAAACCAAGTTAAGTGCAGATCTTTGCTTRCTTCACCTACATCAGCATCCTCAGCTCTGGGAAAGGCCTCCCTGCTCTGGCTTGGCCAATCGGGGAACACAAGGCTTTAGAAACCGGAGAAAAAAAAAACAGTGGAAAATTTGTGACCACAGAATAGCATTCACACAGAACAAAAAAAATAAATAGTGCACGGTAAAGCCAACAACAGCTAAATATTTTTATACATCAATTATATGCAGCATGAGGTAATATTGCTCACATTATGGAGGGAGATTCTTACTTGGTTTCTTTTTTTTTCTTTTTTTTTTTTTTTTGGAGAGAGAGAGAGTTTGGATTTGTCCTGTGCGTATAGAAACTCCTGTAACATAACACTGAAGTAACAGAGACTTCTGTAAAATATATACCACTATCCGATAGAAACACACACGCTCTTCATTACTTATGCATACCACAATTAAATAGGTAAGTGAKTGGGTTCTTAGGCTCTAGCTGAGGAGGGTTATAGTAGCCCATCGAGGTTTTTGTGAACCGTTCGGTTCTCCTTGCCGTTGTTGGGATCCTCCGACGGCGTGTACTGGACCTGATATTCTTGAAGAATTTTAAACACATCATGGTGTCCAAAATGTAAAGCTTCATCCATTGGAGTGTTATTCCACCTGCGAGAAGGACCACGGGATTTTTAAGACCAGCATGGAGTTGAAGGCATCCCAAAAACCAGATTCTCTACACTTGGTATAAGCGCCTGCACCAAACACACTGTGCAACAGCTACACAAGTACTCTGTCAGCTCAGCACAACCTTTTACGTAACGATTACAACAGTTACACCACGCTTTATTTCCACGTTCTCTGCGGAGACTACAGAGAACACATGGGATTGTTCCTTCTGCTTCGGCACATCTGCCTGAAATTCTGCTATTMATGTGTCTACACCTACGATACTTATTAACAGACAGGCCTCCTCATGTAATTAGCTGAAAGAGCATCTCTCCTTCCAGGCGGCACCACAAACACCTACCTGTCTTTGGGAAAAGGATTCACTTTGCACGCTTCCAGTAAAAATTTAACGACATCCACATGTCCTGTAAGAAAAGCAAGATTATGTAAATATAAAAAGAAGGTACTTTATTCTACATAAATATAAAAATATATACTTTATAGGTGTGTATACATTTATAGATATATAAAAACTCACACACAAATGCAAAAAGATGTGTATTTATTGAAAGAGTGGAGACGCTTTAACTAACCCAATTCCATTAATAGACAGCAAACTACACAGGAGCAGACGGTACCTTCTGCAGCTGCTACATGCAGTGCTGTTCGTGAGTCATAATCTCTTTGTTCCATATCCATTCCTGATAGAGCAAACCTAACAAAAAAGAAAAAAAGTTTGTGGACTTTTAAAAAAACTCCAGTGCAGTAACTGAGTGACATTAAAARCGCATTAACAGAAGCTGTTTCCTCCCTGCTGCAGCTCCGGCCCCCCAYGCCGCATCCGAGCCCGCGTCCGCATCCGCGAGGACCTCCGCATCCGCTTTTACCTCCGCAGCGCCGACACGTCCCCCGTGTAGGCAGCGAACAGCAGGTTTATCACGGACTTCACCTAGGGAGAGAGACGAAGGCTGGTGGCTTGACCGCGTTTTCCTCACGGGGAGAAGGGGAGCAAACGCAGCCCACGCTGAGGCCGCGCTGCACAACCGTGAAGGGAGGAAACTCGGTGAAAAGCATCGCCTCTACAGAGAAAACTAACAGAAATGCAGGCGAGTGCAAGAGAGGAAATAACAGCATGTTTGCCCTAAATCGCAAGTTTTGCTAGCATATATCTAATGTAAAGGCTTTCCTACAAACGAGCAATTCTAAGCAATTTTGTCAGAAAACAAATAGCTACAAGAAAAGCAAAGCTTTAGGCAGGAGAAAGTGGGATCTTTTCAGGTCAAACAACACAGGCTAGCTCTCGGGCAAGCAGCTTTTTCTTTTCTCAGCTGTATTGAAGACTAATAAATGAAAAACGACACCTTGAGCTGCAAAGCTGGCCCTGCCTCGTGACCGAGCAGCCAGAGGACAACAACTCCATGAGGTTTTTCACTAAGGGGAACTCGGTTTAGTCATCTTGACATCACACCAGGATGACTCAAGTGTTCCTGCTGCCCAGATAGGCGGATGTACATTAAAAACATTCCTTCCCTCCCCAGAATAACTTTCCAAGCGCCGCCGGGGCACGACTCGGCTCTGGATTCCATTCCACGTCATTTGCCAAAAAGCTGTTTTCATTTTCAGGTCTGCTTGAACAAAAGGTAACTTTGAGATTCCTTCTACTTCCCGCTGAGGATCACAGCCCATCGCAGGCCACATCGCGCAGCTATCCCAGAGGAAGTGACTGCTCCCCCAATTCCTCCTTTCTCCAGTCAAACGCTGTAAAACCTACGGTCACATACTATAAAATCAACCTCTTGCCCGATCAGGAGAGAAATACAAGGGCAGATATAAATACCTATGCTTGTTTAGGTCAAGAAAAACAAACCCAAAGTTTGAAGGGAACTGTGGCTGCTGCCCATACAACAGTAGAGGTGGTGGAATACAAGAGCAGGAGAAGACAAGGCAGCACAAGGAGACACAAGGAGACRTTCTGGCTTCCCCTCCCACTATCAGCAGCATGAACAGGTCAAAAAGGATTCCTGCATTTCAAAAGGGAGTGCACGGACTTGCTCGGAAGGCAAAAGTAAACAAGAGTATCAGCAATAAAATCAAAAAAAAAATATGTAAAATATCCCAAACACCAAAACCGCCTGGAGCTCGAAGTTGAGACTACAGAGGCTCCATGAGCACCTCCCGGCTTGAAGGAAGTCACTGCCCCGGGCAGTGGCCGCCAGATGGTCGCTTGTCACGCAGCCGAGCACCGCCTGCGGACAGGGGGCTCTGCACGAGGCCTCCCCTCGGCCCTCACAAATCCCACAGCARAGCAAGGCCGGAAAACGCGAGGCAGGACCCGCCGTCCTCGGCTGACTGCCCGCGAACAGCGTTTCCCCGCATTCAGCCACACACGTATACACACACATGGATCTATCCACGGGCCCCAGGAGGCCCTGTCACTTCTCTGGCCTGTTTTCCACGGCAGCCGCATGGCTGCCACGTCCCTCAGCTAGGCTGCTGCTGCGGGGTCTCCTTGTGGGCTGGTTGGCGCCCATTACTTATTATTTTGGGCCCTAAACCCATCTTGTCATGAATTCCTATTTCCTTAGGAACCACACGAGCTGGACAATGCAATAAACCCAGTCCGCCCTCCTTGCGAAGCTCCGAAGTGCAAAGCTAAGGGCWGGGCAGGGCGGCGAGCGCTGCAGGTGACGGGGCCGCGTCGCCCCTCGCGCAGTGGAGCAGAGCACGCGGCCCCACCGGACCCGAGATCCCTTCATCAGGAAAGAACCACAACAAAAACTAACATGCGACTTTATGCAGCCCTCAAATGCTCAATTATAACCCGAATTTACCAAGCAGCGCATCAATACTGAGTTTTCTTTCCCCATCTGTGCCTGAAATCCCTCCTTCACCGGAACACTTTAAAGCAGTCTAGATCTTGAAGAACATCCACCAAGATGAGACTCGCTACCAATGGGCACAGCACCAGGCTCGTCTCACTGCAGTCTTTTGGGTCTGTTACCGAACTATTTTACATACAATTTTAAAAGCACAATATGGAGGAAACAGGAGCTGTGTCCTCCACTGCCAGGCACGTCCAGTGCCACAGCACTGGAGGATGGGACTGAAATCCCACATCAGCTCTTACTCATAAGCTCTTTAAATTGCACAGAATGTCTTTAATTMAGACATTCTGTGTAAGACATAAAGACCCAAATAACTGGAGTAGTTGCCAGAGTGAAGGAAACTTYGACTTACCTCCCAAAATGGGGCTTCTTTCAAGCACCCTTCGGCTCCACCAAGGTCTCGCCATCGGCCCTAAGCTTTTTGCCAGGCCCGAGGCTGAGGGCAGAGTGAGCAGCACCCGCTACTTCTGATTTTTTCCAGCAGACTTGACAGACTCTCTGTTTTTGGAGACAACAGAGCTAAGGAAACCACTGACAGGTTTGCCAGTGTCAGAAACAAAACAACAGGATTCSCCTTCTCCGAGCACCAGGTCACATGCCGACCGGCTGCCGAACCACCTTCACAAGCTGCTCACTGTCAAGGTTCATGGGCGGCTTGTGCAGATCCAACCAGCAAACAGAGCTGTAATAAAGGAACCAGCTCCACAGGCTTGTGGCCTCCTGACCAGAGTGGAAATCCTGACYTCCCTCCCGTGCGGATGACAAGAGACGTCACCGCTGCGTCGCCCACCACGAGGGACGTGAGAGGGGAACGCTGGGCGCTTCTGTGATTAAAGCACGCAAAACACATACCAGAAACAAGGGAAGGGGATGAATCCCAAATCTTTGGGAACAGGAGAAAACCACGAGCCCTTGAAGCAGCGGAGAGAGATATGATGAATGCTGCGAGCTTAGGGAGCAAAGGGCCAGGATCAGGGCTGACCATGGGGCAAAGCAGAGGCCGACGGGCGCGTTGGCGACGCGCGGAGCGGCTGGCACAAGAGCGTCGCCCATCCCAGGAGCGGGCGGCCCAGGCAGGGCCCTCGGCCACAGACACCTCTGCTTCACTCAAAACACAAGACTCAGTGCTTGGATTATGTCCAAAACATCGGAGGAAGTTCAAGGAGACTTGGGGAACTTTGCAGGWAGGAGACCCCGACTATCCCTTGCGGGCTGAAATCAGAAGAGGTGAAATCCCAGCGGGACTCTGAGCTGCGCTCCAGCACGTGCGACTGAGACTGCATTTTCATTCATTGTATTTAATCTTGCTCAACCTCTCGTTGTTTAAAGAATAAAAATAAAAAGCTACTTATCATACAGAGACCTAAAGCCACACATGCAGCCCAAACTAGGCCTACAAAGGCAGAAATTAAAAAAAAATCCTGAATGAGTAATTCCTGAGCAAACAATAAAGTTGTCTTCCTCAAGGAAAAAGTGTGACCRGTGAATCACACCAACAGGAAGCAAGCCAGATTATCTCTTCCTATCACCCAGGCCCACGTGCCTGCTCTTTGCTTACAAATCGCCCTGATCACAAGAGCTGCTGGAAGCAAGGCACTTTCTCTTGGCAAATACCCCACCTCCAGGCCTGCGCCTCGCCCAACAGAGAACGAAAGGACAACTCTTTTCTAAACTCTTACTTTCTATTGTGTTTTTGAAGAACAAATGAGAATTCAGTAGGAAAATACAGCAGGAAGCAGTTTTAGGAACTGCTGACCAAAGGCTGCTGTCACTGATGCCCTGTGGAAGATTCCCCAACAGGACACGGATTTCCCCTCATTCCCATAAGCACCAAGGAGAAATGACATGAGCTGCTGTCACAAGAAGGGAAAATTTCAATAGGGTGTTAGGGGAGAGAGAAAAAAAAAAAAAAAAAAGGAAAAAGGACAACAGTGGAAGAAGAGGTTACCCGGAGAGGTTATAGCATCTCCATCAGTGSAAAACTAACACGGGAGCAGCCCAGTCCCYGAGCACCACGATTTCACTTTGATGYGAGACCTGCTTTGAGCAGGAGGATGGACTAGAGCTCCCCTCTGTTTCCATTTTACCTCAACCTGATGGTGTTAAGGATGGAGACTTTAAACCCTCTGTACTCAAGAGCTAATCCAACTTAACAATTGCACTTAGCTACCAAAAGACATTCCAAAATAAAATAATTTTTAAGGCCACAGAGGAAGTCTGCAAGAAGACAGATACGCAGAAAACCCCATTTTTCCTTCTGCAGGCATCAAAGATGTCAAGAAAAGGTGCAGAAGGCTCTATGGGAGGAACCGGGTAGATGAGAACCACAGCAAAGCAGCTGTTAAACCTGTAGTCACCTTTGGGCAGACGCAGAGTGCCCTGCACAGCCAGTGCCCAAACAGAACAACTGCAGCTACTGGGGCCTTTTGGAGAGCACAAGTGTTTTTCAAGCTCCTTCCTTTTCCCCCTTGCCCCTCATTGAACCCAGCTTCCTGCTAAGCTCGAGCACGGAAAGTAGCAAAGTCCGTATTATTCTYCCTGTCCCTAATCACACATTTCCATTTTTTAAATCTGACCCAGATGGCCAGATGACCCAGGTGGCCATAACCACCTTACCATAGGGCGAGGCCTCCGTGTTGGTCTCACAGGCTAAAACAAGTCACGTTTAAGCCAATTAAACYGGTGTGAAAATCACCACTACCTCTTCACCTCACCTCTGCTTACGTGAGTTTAACTAAAGGATAAAATCAGATATAATCACTAGGAATGTAAAACTTGCTGTGCATTTAAATATATATATACACACACAGAGTAGGTGATAAAAATATCACATTTTTAAAAGTAGTTAAACTAYGTGCAGAATTGTACTATTTTAAAGTCCTGCAAAAAGCATTTAAACGGTTAAAATTCAAGTGAAATCCGAAGTCTGCATAAAGCAGTATTAGAAGTTAATCACACAATTAACTTCTAACTTGCCCAAAAGCAAGAGGAAACAGGACATTTCTCTTTTGTACACAAAACCCTCCAGAAGGAAAACATGGTAAATCTAAAATTAGGTTTGATTCTTACGGAAGTTGCTTTATGATTTTAACCACAACCAACTATTAACACACCAAGACTTAAATTCCTGCAACAAGATGGACCCGTACAGCAGGCAACTCTTAACAGCATTGCTATAACACACACTATCATCATGTGTGATCCAGACAGGACAACAGACAAAACCAGAGTGATTAGAAAGTGCAATGTTTAGTTAATGACACACTTCATAACTAACTACTCTGCTCAGGCCCTCAGTATTGTGCATCAATGACATGTATGTATCAAGACCAGGAGAAATAAGAGCAAATTTTCTCAAATATCAAACGTATTTGGATGACTCAAGCTTGACGTCCCACTCCCAACACGATGACTTTTGACTGCATTCCCTTTTTATTCTTCTACCCACCCAAAGGCCTTTGGCAAGAAATGCACAGCGAAAAGCGAAGAGGAGAGAAAGAAAATTAAGTACAGCAAGTCGTCCTTCTACCCTTCCTCAGTCCGGTTTGCTTTTGGAGCACAAATAGGTCTCCTTTGCAGATCTCTGCATAGGACAAATACCACACAGCTCATTTTAAAAGCAGCTTATAAGGCCATCTGCAGAAAAGTCACATTACAGTCACCCTCTCCTTGATGAGGATTTTCTTTTGGTTTGGGAAACACAGACGTGATTAACAACTGCCCAGACCCCAGCGACGCTCTTAAAAACTTAAATTATTTGGAAGACCTTCCTTGCTGCCTGTGATTTAATACCAGCTACGCATTAGGCTTCGTAACTCTCAGCATCTCCGAAACGACTGCAAGTCTTACTCCTATGGTTTGCACTTTTAACAATTCAGAGCAAAAGATAATCTGAATAACTGTACAAAACGTGCAAGAAATGAGCGATTAACTAAACTTGTTTGATTTAAATGTTTCAATCTTTTTAAAACTTTAAAGTTTTAAATTCCAACTTTATCACAATCGCATTTCATGTATTTTAGCAAATCTGTCCTTCAGAGAAAAAAAAAATACAATAAAACCAGCTTAAAATAAATTTATTAAACAATACAAAAATAAGCATGCTGGAAATCAAGATACATAAATAACATACAATGCAAATGAAAATGGAAAACAAGACAGGTAACAACAACTGAGCAAAAAGGTACAACGCAAATGCTAAAATAAAATCTTTAAAAAGCACTTACATTTCTAATGAAATGTTAACGATGCTGACAAAGGGGGGAAAAAAAAACACCGCACACAAAACACAGCTAAAATGCTTGAATATCAAGAATTGCCATGGCTGCAGCAGAGGTGAACACGGAAACCGTCGCGGGCCGGAGGCGCCGCCGGACGCTCGGGGCGCCGGCAACGCGGCCCCGTCAAAGCCACGGGCCCGAGGGAGCCCCTTCCTCACCCCTCCTCACCAGAGGCTGGCCTCAATCCCGAGTCAGGCTTCAAAAGCTTATATTACAAAACTGCAATATATTTTTWTATATATATAGGTTTTTATACTTAAAGATTGTGCAAGCTGTACCCTAAATATTGCTGTTAAGCACATTTAAGATCTACTTGTCTCCTTTATGTTTCCCAAGCAGGACTTGCCTCTGCCACAAGTTTTGTATGTATTTTACACACATAGATACGGCAAAGCTTCTTATTTTAGAGCTGGAAAGCTGATGGAACAACTCCTCTGTTTTCAACTCTGTTTTTAGGATGAGATCCAAACAGGGCCAAATGCAGAAAGAATGTTTTTCAAATTGCAACAAGCAAATCCTGCCACACGTGGCTTCCTTTTAATTCAGTTATTTAATCAGCAACACGCACTCATTGCTGTAAATTCTCCTCTTCGTTAGCAGCACAGGCACATCATGTTCCCTCTTTCAGCTGAGCACTGCTCAGGTAAACACACATAGGTTTGCAGGATCTGGATACTCGTTACCTCTCTAACTATAATTTTATTGCAAGATCCTCAAACGGGTTCTTGTACTTCAAAACTTTACCTTTGTTCCCTTAACTTGCAAGATAAGCACTGAGAAACCTACACTAAACACCAGTGATAAGATCATAAAATAGCTATGAAACAGCAACATCTGCACCACAGATGTACCTATTCATTCCACAAGGACTTCAAATACACTGAAATAGGTCATTTTCTGTATCATCTTGCCTAAACTTTTTATTAATAGGCTTCACACACAGAAATCCAATCCATTTACAATATATTGMAAGAGGATGATTGAGGTTAAGTTAGCGCTTATTAAAATTATTAATAAATTATTTCAATGCTTTTGCAAGACTAACAAAATCTAAATGGAGTTATTAAGACTTTCTTTAAGACTTACTTTAAGTAATCTTTCACAGACAACATATGCTTTATGCTGGATTCAGACTTCCAGATGGGACAAAAAGAGGAAATCAATAACTTTCCTCTCATGCAAAACTAATATTTGAGTTTTAGATAAACTGAAAATGGGAAGGGATTGGCGGAGAGTGTCAGGGTGGGAGATTTACTGAGGAATCTGCCATCATTACCTCTTTGTTGTTGAGTTGTCTGGGAGATTTTTTGTTTTTTTTATACTAGTGAAGGAATGTCCTTTCTTGTTATTTAGAAATTTTGTCCAMGTTTCCCAGAGTTTATAAACCTGGAGTCTATGACACATACATACATACATACATATATATATATATATACACATATATATATACACACACGTATATATATTTTGTTTTGTAGGCTTTTTTTAATCATAAAAAATAGCTATGAGTGCCAAGAATTTAGCAAGTCTGCATCCTGGCTCAAAATTGCCCACTCAGCCTAACTATTAAGAGCTTATAGCTCATTTCATGMATCCTGTCCAAGATAATCTAATAATCGGATCCTTTTGAGCAACAGATGCAGTCGTTTCACGGGAGAAGAACAAAAGTCCTGGGTCTTAGCAAGAAGAGATGCAGATTCACTTGTGTATTTTTTTAAAAACAATAAGCTAATGGGGGCATTTCAGCTTGTGTACGTGTAGGGAGAGCGCCCTTCGCTGCTGTGTGCGGCCGCATCCGAGCCTGCCCGCGCTGCAGCTGGCTCMTCTTCTGCCCCCTCCTCTCCCAACGCTTTCTTCCCCCCCCAGCACCATTTTTGCTATTTTATTCAAATATTAGTATTAAATCATTCCGAAAGGTTTTCTCAAAAATATATTGTTTACACGTCAGGGTATAACTGAGGGACCCACTTCTGTTAAACACCGTTTGAATGTTTATCTTACAAAAAGGGCACTGTAATAACAAGACTCACTATCTCCATTTAATATACAATTATTTGGGAATTTATGACCTTATTATTACTTTATGTTATAATTTTTCTTGTATTTTCACATTCTTAGCCTGATTAGAGGACACATCTTATCTTTAGTGCTAAAATTAATTTACTTAAAATTCTCAGATATAAACAAAATACATGGATATACACAAAAGAGGTATATCGTTCAAAGCATTCAATTTCATTACTTTTAAGTAAACGTGCTTTAAGTAACTACAATAGTCAGTTAGCAGGGATTTTTTTGCTGTTGTTTATGCATCTTTTTGAACTTCAACAGTCTTTTTGGTATAGCATACAAAATTTATACAATATTTTATATATATTGATGAAATACCAGGCAAACAATATTCAAATGAGAGTTAAATCTAGAGATGCTTTAAGGGTTTTAAAATGAAGAGTTTTATGAAACTAGAACCCATTCCTTTAGTTTTGCTCTCCCCGACCTTCCATTCTATACACTACGGTTCTGGAGATGTCCTCGTTTGATTCAGGTGACACTTTTTTCCATACTGTTTCTTTTAAAGCAAGTTCTTGCTGGAGATTCTCATAGTCCATTGGTCCAAAGGAATGCTAGTTGTTCAAGCAACATACATTATTTATTAGTGTATTTGAAGGAGGGAAATAAAAAACAAAAACAAAAAAAMCAAATTTGCAATGCTAATTTGCAATGCTAACAAACTCAAGTTTTATCTTTCTTTACCTGTTCACATATAAACTGATATTTTCTGTTTTCCAGTTACAAACAGCTCAACGTGGTTAATTCTTAGAGGTATACATGCAAATAAAGGCACTTTTAAAATGATCCTACAGCTTCTGCTATGAAAGTCTCCATGCCTTAGTTAAGAAAACAGCAGTGGTAATTGAAAGCAAAGAGGTTTCCCCCATCTCAAGCACTCTCACAGCCCCCATGAAAGGGCACGTCCTTCTGTACGTGCAGCTGGACCTGGATTGGGCTGTTTCCCAGAAACAGGCTGTTTCCTTGGACCGCTCCTCAGTGACAGGCACTGGTCTATTCAGGAACACAAGGCCTGGGGTCACTGCCTGTGCAGCCCTCACCAAGAAATCGGGTCTCGGGGGGCATCACCATGAAAAATACTGAACATACATCTCATGCACAGTAGCACAGAACAGAAAGCCACAAACTGGACACATCTTTATTAAAAAGCAGCCAGAAGAGTGAAATACTTTGTGACTTCTATCAAATACCAAATACTTTTTCTAATCAGGTAAAAGAACTACAACAGATTAACAGAACTACAGTGCTAAGACGAAAATCTATTTCAAAATCCTCTCGTAGCGTGCTCCACCCATGTAAGCGTCCACTACGGAAGAGCATGGATTAATTTATCCACAAGTTTTGATGCAATACATGTCATTGAGCAGTTTTCCATCTAGAGAAGAACTCTACATTTTTCCTCKGAACTCTACAAACGATGCTCACTGAAAACTCATATCAACTTACCCGCTGATCACCACCTTCTCTGCGAGGATCAAGCTTCTTYGCAAAGTGTCTCAAATTGTCATAGTTGTGGAAATTGCACAGAGAAACCAGATCCTGAAAATATTTAGAGAACATCCATTATCCTTTGCATATATGGCAGTTAAGTACACATAAGATTGTAATAAATAATACTAAATTACTGAAGGTAAAGTTACTTACATGACAAAAGTGAATTCCCTTAACACTGTTGCCCATCTTGTCCAAAGGAGGTGACCAGCACATCAAGCCCATAACATTAGGAACAACCAGAAGAATCCCACCAGCAACACCCGATTTTGCAGGAAGACCAACCTATAGAAAAAATCAGAGAATTGGTGTCCCCTGCAGGCATTTATTAATATTTGTAAGACAGCACCACAGCATCTACTAAGGATTATTATGCAGCGCTTTCAAAAGGTAGTGCTGGAAAGCCCTTTAAGCTGAGAGCACGTTATTATTTATCTCCTTTTGGAGAGATGACAACTTGAAACACAGTTCATCCCAGTTTGAGGCACACAATCATGAAGTTATTTGCTTTCAACAGCACATTCAATCAGAAATACAGCAAAAATGATAATCCAAATCTGTCTAAAAGAGCAGCAGTGTGCACACGCACGTAAGATGTCAGGAACAATGCAACAATGTGTGATACAATGAAGCACTACATAAGAATATAAATAAAAAAGGGGGAGGTGTTCAATAAATATAGTTATCAAACAACCTATTTACAGTCCGTACATGCTACTTTTTCTTAAATAGGAGTTAAGATGCCMTATATCCCCACTGCTCAACAAACAAAAGTTTTTAGGTTGCTGAAAGCATCATAATCAACTTCACCAATTTCCTATGTATGCAGTAAGAAACACTGAAGAGTCAAAGAAAGAAAACAAGTAAGATGTAGTGCATGTCTAAATACTTAAATGTAAGGAGTGTACTACTGGAAAATAGCAGAGATGTGGTGCATATGGCAGCCACTTCTACAAGATAAATAGTTCATTTAACAACTCAAGAAGTGCAAGAAACTGGAGGGTAAGAGGGAATGGAACGTAGAATAGAAATCACAGATTAATCCTCCTGTCCAGATACATTCACTATCTGAAAGACTACTTACATGGAAGGCAAACTGCCCTGAGAAGTCATACATGCCACAGGAATGCATCAGGCTCAGGGTATTGCGGACTGCCTCGGGACTCAGGACTCGCTCACCAGTGATGGGGCAAAAGCCGCCGTTGGCCAGGGTGGCTGCCATCACGCTGGCCGACTCGCACGTCACTTCTATAGAGCAAAGCTGACGAGAGAGAGGTCAAGGTTACGAGGAGCACGAGGCTTCAGCAGCGCGGTAAGGCCACCACCAMGGCTCTGTGTGAATACCGTTACACCAAGTAACCTGCAGCACAACTTTTGTTAGGTGTGACACTAGTAGCACCCATTAGTACCATCTGAATCATCCTACTACAAGATCCTAGTGTCAGTCTTGGCAATCCTACTTAACAGTTTGGGATAASTTTTTCCGTGCTGAGTGTTATTAGCTTGTGGGTTTTTTTTTTTGTGTGTGTGTTTGGGTTTTTTTCCACCCCCTCCAGTGACATTCCTTTCAGAGAAATTGGGTAGAAAACCATCTCAGAATATTGCATCTGTTTAAATGGTAAAGCCACAGAATGACTTTTCCCTCAATTGCAGCTTGAGGATTCTTAAAGTTTAGGAAAGCAGCATATGCCTATTAAAAGGACATACTAAAGCTACAAATTCTAGCACTTACAAATTTTACTGCCAGCATTTCCTGCTAACACAACTTTGTTTCAGCCTCCTCTCATATATGCTTTATGATACATTAACTATATGATGATGTAATATTTTCCCACAGGAACCCTGCTTCACTGAGGGCAAAATATACAAATTTGAYGATGCATCAGGAAATGTGATAAACAGGCTGTTTTTTATTGTTTTTGTTTCTGTTTATTTTTAAAGCAGAAATCAAAAGACAGTTTCAACCTGAGGCTGAAAAGCYACTTTGAGAAGGAGACAAATCAATGTTTGTACTCTTGCTTTGGCCAGTCTCACTTCATAAAACTACGTAAGCTAATTTTTCTATGCAGAATCCTCAATTTCTGAGTGCCAAACTCAGGCCAGTCATCTGAAGCTGCAAATCCAGAGAACATCCGAGACGCGTCTAAAATGGCAACTGTGTTTTAAACATATGAAGTGTTACATAATACCACCTACTCGACAAAACTATTTTTAGGTTCTCTATTTAAACACCTACAACCTTTAAACTTACATTTAGTATGGCAGTTCAATCAAAAGAGAATAATATTTCCTCACTTTAGAGAGACACTGTGCAAATAAGCATATTCCCTACATTCCCCATTAGGCCAGTGAGGAAGGAGCATTAAAGAAAACACAGAGAGAAGTAGCAATTCGGCCTTTTTAGTAGAAATTTGACTAGCATGCAGGATAATAGCATCATGCAATGAGGAGAAAAGAAAACATTGAATTACCGCTCACTGTACAAGCCCTCTTTTTCTGAGTTTTGAGGGGGAAAAGGGATTTTGCTAGGGAAAAAAGAATGCCACGCAGTCATAAAAACGGAGAGCAGAATGCGCAAATTTGAGGCCAAATTAAAATTGCACAGGCCAAGTTATTTTGTGCCCTTCTTGTCACAGGGCAGGGGGAGAAGAAGTATTTTAAAGGCATGCTTAACTACTACATTAAAAATAAATTCTGTTTTATTCTGTAACAACAGCTTGCCACTGAAAGGGCTATTAGCTTGTGTATCAATTAATATGAGGTCAGATGTGTCTCATTTACAAAGAGCTTCCCTTACGATCAGTCATTTGCCTTAAGSACTGTAGCAGTCACATCCCAAATACACTGAAAATCAGATGATATTTATTGTTTGCAGTTTGCCCAGGTAAGCAGCACGAGTCAATCACACATCCTTCTTGAGAACCAAGTCATCAAATGCACACCCTCCATTTCAAAACCGAATTTGCCAAATGCTGGYAAGCTCAACTGTAAGGCATTATAACCCTCACGTCTCTGAACAGATGAGCTTCTGTTGCCTGTAACAGTACTTCCAAGCACTCAGTTTTCATTCTCAAAACTCAGTTTTAATTATTAGAGGCAGTTACCTGGAAATAGAAGTCCAGGATAGCAACCATATCCGTTCCTTCTGGAAAACACTGATTAAGAAACAGAGTCTTCAGTTAATAACAACAACAATAATAATTTTTCAATTACCTTAAAATTAAGCTATATCCTTATCAGCGTATGAAACACTGGTCAAAGTTTAAAGCTAAACATTTACTTAAATATAAAGAAGCAAAAAATAAATCATTTCCCACCAAAAATAATACAATATTATGCAGTTTTAATACCTAGATTACTCTGATTAAAGTCAGTTCATTGCAAAAAAATGGTGTACAGATTATGAACTTTAGGCCACATAAAATATTACCATAACTAGTATACAGAAACAAGATTAAGGATAACCCATTAAAAGTATGCAAATATTTATACTCTTTCCAAAAGAGCTGGAAGGATTTGCATAAAAAGCATATAATAAATGACACCATACAGTAAGTCATCAAATCAAGTGAAAATCTTCACAGGTCGAGACGATGAAAAACACACAACCCTGAAAATATGATTAAAAAAATATGTCAACCTTTTTTTCTTTCAGGTAGTAGCCTATTGCAAAGTTTCTATCTCCGCTCTCTCTTTCAGACTGGAACCTTAAAAAAAAAAAAAAGAAAAAAAAGAAAAAAACAGTAACAACAATAGAACATGGAAATTGCCACAGATGCTCACCCTGACACACCCAGCCCTCCCTCCCCAATACACAGCAAGGAGTAAGTTCAATAAGGTGTCCCAAAGCCCCTGGAAAATGTCACCACTACCCATTAAAAGCAGGGATCCAGTCATTCGCCACTTAAATGACAATARTATGATCCTGAGAAACTGGAACATCTCCTTTGCCTAGCACAGTTAATGCCAGTGCTCCAATTCAGACATAAATTAAAAGCTGAAAGCTGAATATAGGTTGCTATGTAGCTAGATCTTAGTTAAGAAGTTTATAGCATTTAAATATTTAATAAAATATTCACTTTCTGGACTGCATTTCATTTTTCACAGCTGAGAATCTCTTTAAAAAACAGGAAAACTGTTCAAGAAATGATTGGGGAAAAAAAAAAGATTTAGTAAAGACTCCTTAGTTAACACATGCGATTTCAACACATGCTTTTGATTTTAGACTACTGATTTTACAGGTAGCCTATGAACACATCAGAAGTGTAATGCAACGATACCACTGAGACAGATCCCAAGTCTTGATGTTGGCTCAACTTAGCAAGGTAGAAAACTGCCCTGAAAAACGACTTGCTGTTCCGTGCCAAAAGTTCTGTCCAGCTATGCACCTTTTCCCCACACAGGTGATGGGTGGGAATTTGAAGTTTGAGACAAGCTAGAGCATCCCGGCACATGGAGCATTCACAGAATCCCAGAATGTTGAGGTTGGGAAGGACCCTTAAAGATCATCCAGACCAACCCCCTGCTCCAGCAGGGACACCCAGAGCATGGGGCACCCGGTCACATCCAGGCGGGTTGGGAAGATCTCCAGAGCAGGAGCCTCCGCAGCCTCCCTGGGCAGCCTGGGCCAGGGCTCGGGCACCCTCACACCAAACAAGTTCTTCCCCACATGCAGATGGAGCTGCCTGGGTTTCAGCTTGGACCCACTGCCCCTTGTCCTGGCACTGGCCACCACTGAGAAGAGCTTGGCCCCTTCCTCTCTACATCCTCCCCTCAGGTGTTTGTACCCATTGATCAGATCCCCTCTCAACCTTCTTTCCCCAGGCTGAACAGGTCCCGCTCGCTTAGTCTTTCCCCATAGGACAGCTGCTCCAGCCCCACAGATGTAAGCCAACTTGCAGACAAGGCCATGGTGAAGATCCTATTCCTATAAGCCTTTCTGGAAGGSCAATAGGAGAAGGGAAGCACATCTGACAGTGCACTGGGATGAACTGGTCATCCACCAACAGCCCTGCTCAAACCACATGGGCATTTGCGGATCACGTTGCAATTCAGTTAATGACCAGGCTACGGGCTACACTGTGCAACACGCCGAGTAAGTTAAGCCAAAAGCGTAACGCGGGAATCTGAATGGATAAGATTTGTTTTTAATTTTAAAAAGGAGTCTTCTCTATCATCTGGTCTATTATATTTATAGGGATAGTAAAAGTTTTAATGAAAGCTAATAACTCTCAGTAAGTCCTTGTACATTAGCAATGCTCAGCATAAATACCAGTTATCTTGGGCTCTGGTGACCACCAGAGCACAAAAGAGAATAATAAAGAAACTTCCAAGAAATAACCCAACGCTTTTATGAAATGTTTAGCAAGGTTTCGGACACACGCATGATTTTGTCATTGGATAATTTTAAACCAAACACACACCCCAAATATTAGGGGTGAAATGATGGTTTCCATGTAAATACCCAACATTTGCTGAAAGCTCAGAAGCCAAGTGTCAGCTGAGATTATTTTCCACCTCATTTCACTAAGTAAATAACAGAAATACTCACGTAGCATTACTGAATCCAACATATTCATTACCCGCCATTTTATTCATGAATTGCATCACCTGCCAGGGGGGAAACAGAGAAAGAAAGGGGGGAGAGAAAAAGAAAAAAAGACATTCTAGCATTTTCAGGCATTAAAAAGCGATAAATGATCAACATTCCATCCAGACTTAACAAAAACTATCTTTGGCAATATGATTTTTCAGAAGAAATTTATACCATTAGATGTTTAAATAACCAAATGGAAAACAAACAAACAAAAAAAAATTAAAAAAAATACCCCCCACTGGAAATTTGAGTTGACATGATTACAATTTCAACTTAGCAAATTCATCATTTAATTCAATTAGGAAAAGCATAAGAATGTCATAATATTCACTTACATAGTCAAATTTTTCTGCATTATTTGCTCCTTGCTGCAAGAAAAAAAAAATAATTTACAAAAATTGTTAACACAAGCGAAGAAGTTCACTTAACAGTATTAGGAATTTTATTGCATATAGCTACTGTATGAGACTACTTAAATATAAAGGTACTACAATTATTTTGCATACTAATGACAAAATTAAAGTGTTAGATAAGTAAAAACTTTAATTATCATTTAAATAAGCCTTAAACATGTCTTATCAAACACCTGGATGTTGTAAACGAATTTAAACTTAAAAAAAAGAAAAAGGTATGCTTTATTTTAAGTGCTCTCTATTCAACTTTATTTATCAAAAGTAAATATAGTAGTTAAGGCAAAAAAAAATATAAACACAATTATCATCAGTGTAAATGCAATGAAAACACTAACTTTTTCTTATAGATTAGTTACTCAAAGGTAGTCTTATTTTATCAGAGCTGAGCATATACAAATTCAGGCTACTGAGTTTAAAAGTTTTTTACATGGTTAAGAGTAAGAATTTGGATTGAAGACTTAAAATAAAGTGTTACCGCTTACTATGAGAATAATTGGACTGAATCAAAATATTTAATTTGATTCTTATCTACTTATGTTCTACTCATTAAAAATTCAATAGTTCAAAAAGTAATCTCACATCATAAAATACAGAATTTCATCACTTCACTAACAATTTAAGTAAAGCAAAAAAATTAAAGCTGATTTAATAAAAATACTACTCAAAATTTATTCTTAGGGCTGGTTATTTCGGTTTGGGGGGGCGGGGGGAAAGGGATTTTGTTTGCTCGTTTCTTTTCAAAGTAATTTCCAATTTAGTAACTGCCAGTTAAAGATGTATTGATTCTGCAACAGTTTCTGACAGCTGATCACTCACAAATTCCTGCAGCAAGAAGTGGAAAGTGGGGCAGGGAGATGAATAATAATAGTAGTAATAATAATAATAATAATAATAAACAAATTGTGTTCTACTGTGGGGGGAGGTTGGTGGTTTTTTTGAAGTAGCCAAGTACTTCCTTCTGAAGAAGTTTTTAAAAAGACAATGGCATCACAAACTGATAGAAACAATACATCTAGTGGGGGTGATTTTATAAAGAATTTTAGTGTTAAGGACACGCTACTTAGTTAATAACACCTGGTGTTTAATGTATTTCAAGCAACTCAAAACACTACTTGTGCTACGCTTAGTACGGGAACAGGGAAGGAAGTGGAGAAAACTGAAGCTTTAAATCAACCAGTAATTTACTTAATGAAATTGCGTAAAGCCAGTCTCGTTTCCCACTCAATATGTGGATTAGGGTGTTGCGGATAATCTGTGAAGCCCATGCATCAGCTCATCTACAAGAGGATGTGCAGTCATACACGTACGATCACTAGCTGAAAGGAACACCACACTGTTTTGTCAAAATTATGCGCCAGTGGTTACCTTATGCTTAAAAGCTAAGAACCTTACAGTCAATAATCTCTAGCTAGATAGTTTGTCATAATAAATATTTTTTTCTTTAAAAAAAAATCACGATACATTTTATCAAAATGTTCTTGTATAATACACCAGAACATAAGCCTTAAAAATTTAACTCCAAATCTGTTCAATGAAAAATAATTAAAAGAAGAAATTACCAACTTCATTGAACTGTTGCAGTTGTCAAAATATTCCATAGATCCTAATGCTGTAAAATATGTAACAACATTTAAACCACAAAAACCTTTTCAACCTTTCAAATGCACAATGAACATCTTTTCTGGAAGAGCGGGTCAGCATTAGTTATGGGATGCTGCATTGATAATTGTATGGTTAGACATTTATAATAAATCGAAACAAGTTCTTTTGTTAAAAAAATAAAAGAAAGAGGGAGAAAGGGATCATGCTTTCTGCAAAAATATAAATACATAATACTTTTTTTTTTGTCCAGTTAAAAGGAAAAAAATCCCCTGCCCTTCAGCAAAACCTGCCTTCACTAACATTACATATAATCAGTGGGCAAAAGCCCCAGCACAAGCTTCTTTCATATTAGCCTTTTACAAAAAGAAAGTTTATTTTTTAAAAAAAGCACCTAATTTCATACATTTTGGGAAGACGACCTTCTGTAGACCAAGAGCGGATGTGCTTCCAGTCCCTGAGGTTCCACACGTTTGTACGGATACTTTTATATATAAAGAGCAGCACTACTAAATTTTGACTGCTCATATACCCCAAACCTGTGCCCGGACAATCGCATATCCAAGACCACATTATGCATTTAACATAACGGGCAACTCAAAAGAGAAACTTTGCTTCCATACACGATAGCTGAAAAAGTAGCATTAGAGCTCCGTTATTCCAGGAGGGACGCTACCGGCCTCCTGGAAACCAGCAGGCCCTGAGGCAACGCCTCATCTGCAACTACTCAAATACGGGTACTAAACTCTAGGGTCGACTTCACCCAGCACCTTTTCCATAAAAAATAAACTAACATAGCAGACAAGAAAACTTCTGTTCGAGTAGTATTTTTAGCTTGATTAAATAAACCTATGAGGTTGGGGAGAGCAAGGGGGATATATTTTATACACATTTTGCTCCTTAAATAAATAAAAAATCATCCATCTAACACATTAAAGAAAACATTCCATGCACTATCTCCACAAACACTTAATATATATACACTGAAACATATGTTCATATACACACTTACTGTATACATGCTTGTGTGTATATACATATGGAAAGCGTTTCTAAATGAATACAAAATGGAAATTGAAAATGTTAAGACCAAAGCAGTCTGAGAGACAGAAAATTCAAACTTGCAAGAGACAGCTCTACACACTTTTACAATCATTCAAAAGCACGGGGGACGATGGCTGTCCATCATAAATTTGAATTTCTTGACTGTGTTGGGATCTTAGGATCTTAGAGACTTTCCTTTTCTCTTAACCAGCTGCTCTATTATTTGTGCTTCTATAGGAAAAATACTGGAAAAAAGCAGATGCGTTTTTACATATACATAAGAAGAGAGAGACCCATGGATACTTACCACAGCTTGCAACAAAATTAAGCACCCTTAATTAGGAAAGGAATTACTATTAGCCACCTTTTAATGGAAAGCATTCCACGTTCACGTGACTCAGCCATGTAAGCTCTTACCATGTGTCTCTCAGTAAAATAACTTTTCAACTTGAATCCAAAACAAAATAACGAATCTTAACATTTTAAAAAGGAAAATAATAAAAATTAATTTCTGCATTAATATAAGGCCAAATTTAAAACCTAATGATACAAGTGTGCTGAACACACACACACACACATAGAGATTCTAATGCTACATTAGAGTGTAAGAACACAGTTTTCCCATTTGTGCATTTTACGTTAGCTTAACTCTTAGTGGCTTTATTCTAGCTTTCTGTACTTACACGCTTTTTTTATTTGTTAACCTGGGCCTGTGCTGTGAGAACTGGTGTCTTGGGTGCTTAGCTTGCCATTTTCAACTCTGAAATACTCGGGAGCACAACATCACAGACAATATTTGACCCACCAAGAACAATACTGTTACTATTTAAAATATATATATGAATTTTTGTGTCCTCCGGTTCTTAAATGCGTTAATATGTGCCCATTTTCCACATACCACTCCAAAAGGCGTAGGTACATATTACTAGACAGTCTATGTGAAAATATGTAATACACCTGAGTTGCAACAAAAAGCAAGGGTTGAATAACAGGAATGTACGTTCTCTTCAGAACTAGTTACTGCAAGAAAGTAAAAATCCATGAATAGAGGAAACTTCACAAAAATAAAACAAACCATCAAGTATCCAGTATGAAGATCAAAAACGAAACATGTATTTTCAAGCGACACAGATGTCCATTTATGTATCAGCCTATCAGGAATGCTAACTGGAGTGGGTAGTAGAGGGTAATTAAGCTAAATCTAAGCTATTTGCTGCAACTGTTCTGCGATATAAACCTTATGAAAGATTGGCATTTTCTTCCCTTCAAAGGTTAGACTGTGACTGTATAGATTTCCAATAGCTGAATCGTAAAAACAGACTGTCCCCCTTGCTACAGCTGGTCAGTTTTTTTCCATTCATAGGGACCTCATATACTTGGATTTTAAATGTACTAATATATCACAAAATAAATTAGATACTAACATTGCTTTTTGGACTTTGTACCAAAAAAAGTCTTCATTGTAATGTTTTTTTTCCTCAAGTTCAGCAACAGAACTCTTAACTTTCTCCTCTGCTAAGTTTTTGCAAAAATTATCGACATGATTATTCCCCCCACTATATGTGAAAGCTTCCGACTTCAACTCAGGAGTTCTGAATTCTTCGCTGAGCCTTCAAGGCTGCTCTCTCCACTGTCTGTGTACGGTTGTGTGTGTGGCAGCCAGCACCCCGTGCATCTAGATACACTACATTTGTCCAAACCTTCACGGGCTACACTAGCAAAGATTTTATTTACAGAAGCAATACAGTTTATAAATGTGTAATTTATGTAACTGACAGCAAATGACTGTAGAAACACAGAGAATTTCCGAGGGAAAAAGCTCCCGAGTTGTTTTATTTATTTTTTTAGATGTATTTATTTACTCAGACCTGGCCACGGTATGCCCCGACAGCGCTGCGCTTGCACCTAGGCCCCTTACGCTGCGCAGAGGCTCCCGGCAGGTTAACGCAAGCAGAGCTGGGGCACAGCAGGGACCTGGGGCACCAACGGGCAAGCACGGGGTGTCTGGGGGCAGGGACGGGGTGGGAAGCAGGCAAGAGCGCCCGGCGCAGCCCGGCCTGTGCGGGCCGAGGCGCGCGGCCTGCAGGCGCCATCACCGCAGGGCCTGGCCGCGCTCACAGGCCGCGCGGCGCCCCTCAGTGCGGCCAGGCCCGGGCAGGCGGCTCCAGCAACGCGTCCTCCTCTCAAACAAGGACGTGTCCTCCTCTCAAATGCACTTTCTGAACGATCAGGGACTACTGCCGGCTTCAGCTTTTATCCACGGGTAACCGCTTCCACAGCGGGCAGATTCTACTGGCACCTCTGCACAAGATGGTGCCTATCTGCCACGAATAAACTCAAGGCAATGGAGGCCCGTGAAGACTTCTTAATTTGATTTTTTTCCCAAAAAGAGATAAAGTAACAAATACCAAAAATAAACTTGACTGTGCTTAAGAATTCTGTAATTGTCTTGGATTATAAGAGCCACAGACAGTCTTTAACACGTGCTATCAAATCAAACTGAATGAATGCAAAGAAACAAGTCAACACATGGAATACTTTAGCCACTTCCTCAAGGGGAAAAAAAGGTCTTAGACTAGATCCAACCTAACCCCAATCATTAAAATTGCTGGAAAAAAAAAAAAGCAGAAAAGTTGCTAAATTGTGTTACAAGAAACACTTATTCAGTAAGTTTGTACCTGTGACTCTGTACACAATTTTCTCAAAAGTATGTTTAGTTTAGTTAGTTATTCACATGAGAATGGCATCTTAGTGAAAGCAGTATATGAAAAAAAATCTGTGTTTTCTCACTCCCAAAACAAATAATGAAGTGATAAGTGAGACATGTTCCATAGGCGTGCAGTTACTACATGCATAAAAATGTCAATGCAGAGCAATACTCTTTGTAAGAACAATACACGGGGGGAAAAAAAGCCACCCAAGAGAAGCCAACCCCCCAGCCTTCTAACAAATACCACAATCGCATGCAGTAAACAGAACATTTTTGGCTACTGGAAAATACACCATTTATCAAGAACTCTGTGTGCCTTCTGCAAGAGGCAGTCTTGTATTTGTGCCTTATGAACAGTCGGGCGGGTGGCAGTAGCGCTAGCGCTTGGACATTTCAGACAAATGGGTTATTAACATCAGGTTTTAAAATTCACTCTTATCCAAGTGAATTTCAATGCTCAGTCACCTTTAAAAAAAAGAATTAAATGTGAATAAATTTACCTGTCATACTTAAGGCCATTTTCTTTCACCTACAGCTATTAAAGATAAATGTCTTTAAGCAGGAGTTCTTAAACCTTCTTTAAATATAAAATAACAGAAAATCATCATCTAAGTAATCTTTAAAATCAACAATTTGGGAATGGGGGGTAGGAAATAAACTGTTGCTAAGGGATTTTGAAACATAACCAAGACAAAGGTGGTAAACACAATTTTTAGATCTATCTAGTAACAATATTCAAATTTCTCTTTTAAAACACCAGGGGACTGACATGTTCCCTAGAATTCTAGGCAGAAATCTAGAATTCTAAAAAAGTCGAGTTTTACCTCAGTGACTACCAAAGAAAAAGGCAAAAATAACAGGTAAGGCATTCAGTGTACATTAGCATTGCATTCAATTTACACTGCTGTAACTTCAAAAATAGACTCTATGTAGCTACTCTAAGAAAAAAGTACCTTTCAAAAGTGGAAGATTATGGACTAAAATTTTAAAGTCACCGTTCAGCTTATTATCATTTACTCCAGAAAATACAGGCAACAGTTTCCGAACATACTTGTTTTAGAGAGCACAAGTAACATGCCAGTTGAAACGATCTAACACACAAATTGAACATGATTTCGTTGAACAGAATGTCACCACTGGACAAACTCAGCAATAGGATCTGTGGGGGAATATAGCTGCATAGCCCCCGCACAAACTGGGAAATCCTCCATTTCTACGGCAGAGCAAGGAATATTCCTGCAATTTTATGCTATATCAGAATATATCACATCCAGAAACAAACTTCTGAGCTTTAGAAAGTACATTCCTGAGGAGATACTCTTAGCATTCAACTTAGCATACTCTTAGGAGGCAACTCTTGCAAAAGATACAAGTGCACAAGAAATCACTCATATGGTCTCTGAATGAGAACAATCTCATCAATTCATTTGCTCTTACTGGCAAAGAAGGCAAGGAAAGTTAAAAAGGAAAACAAAAGTCTATAAAAATATATTAAAGAGACAGAGACAGTCTTTCAGATGCAGGATTGTTTCTTTAAAAAACTGTTAGCCTAACATTGCCTTCGTTTGGGAGTATTACTTTTCAAAAGCATCAAAGCTTCTCTATCTGCTATTTAGTCAACCATAAACATTGCACACGTAAAATAAAACCAGTTCATAATCTGCATAAGATAACTATATTCCATCAAAATATTCAGAGTAAAACTAAATATGAACTTTTTACCTTGATTAAGGATGTGATCACAATTGCTCCAGCATTCACCATAGGGTTATGAGGCCTGTCTGCGAAATAAAATCTTTTAAGTATAGATATAAGCCCCAACATGCTCTTCAAACAAAACCAGGAAAGGGCAAGGGTGAAAAATAAGCATAAATAGAAAGTATATTGCTTAAAACTACAATTGGCAAATATAATCCCAAATTAATTCTCCGTAATCCAGTATTATACACCTTTTTGGTAAAATTCACGCTAAAATTTTGTAAATTTCAGCACTTAGAACACATTCAGTCTAATGATATTTAGCAGTCCAGGGAATTCATCAGGAAAATCTGGCAGTGCATCTTTTAATATCTGGAAACCTCTCTAAAGTCTTCCTTCCAAGATTTGACCATCGCATCATGACTTCCAAATGGCTCTGCATTTTTTTCTGCAAGTTGCCAAATCCCACTGATTTCAAAAGTATACAAAATTAATTCATTATGTTTCAGTATAAATTCCAAATCTTCTTGTAAAATTGAGTATTTTCTATTGTTTCTTCTGGAATTCAAACGACAATTTTTATCACCCTCAGGTGCAGACAATTTGTTTTAGAATTGCCTCGCACCTGCTATACTTAAGCCTCTGTTATAACCACTTGTCTTTGCACCCTCAGTCACTCCTGGCCACTCTTTGGAACACATCAACATTTTTTCTTCCCTCCTTCAAGCTTTCCTTATCAGCTGCTTGCTATTTTCAGCTCCTAGTTTTCATTCCTTGGCAATGTTTCTATTCTCCCATTTGCTGCTACTTTATTTCCACATCTGCAAAGTCCTTTAAATATATTAATCAAAGCAATATCCAGAAATATTCATTTAAAAGCACTGTGCAGGACACCTTCAGCAACCCACCTGGACTCTTCTAAGGAGGGCCAACCTGCCAGGCTTAGCAGGTCCCAGAGGAAAGAGACTGGCACTACTCACGATAGCATCTAAACACTTCCCACACGTAGATACCGCTGATTAACCAGGTGACTAATGACCCTTTGTCAATAGCTACCATGAGCTGTCTCTAAACAGACTTATCACGTATTGCTTTTCTGTTTGTTTCCTTGAAACTTTTATGGCCGAGTTGTCTAAAGAATTTTGCATTCTGAAAGATTCCTGACGATTTTGTAGAGGAGAAACCAGAGCTCCGCCAGCTCCTGTTGACGATGCTTCCCTTCCGTTGTGTTTTCTTACGGCTGTTTTGCTTCTTGTTCCAAGCACTAGGAAACCCACAGGCTGACAATCAGCCTGGTTGCTCTAGCAGCCTGCTCTGCAGTGGCACGAGACGCAAACTAACCTCCCCTCCTCAGATTGCACTGACACTTCTGACCTTTTTCATCCTCCTCATGGCCTTACACCTCTAGCGCAACCCTGCCTTGTAGAGTGAGCAGGAAAAGCAGGTTGTGGCTACACATACACAATTCTAATCTAAAAATCTTCCTCCCTTCTTTTCCATTCTCAGAAACCAAATTTCTCTTCCATGTCACTGTTCCTATTTATTAGACTACTACCATGCATTTCACATAAACAGCACTGGGCTGCAATGAACAGCATTTTATCTAGCACATTTTTTAATGTCAACTGTATCAGCCACGCAAACCACAATTCTAGTTTGTGCCATGTGAGTTATCCTCATCTGCTCATTTCACGGATGCTAGGAAAACTTTCCAAAGTCTCCATTCCCTTGTTGCATGGCAGACTTTAAAAGCCTAACAGTAATACAATAAAACACTATATCTTTGTAATTCTTCTCTCATCACTCAACTTTAAATAAGTGATAGAGAAAACAAATTCCTACACTTTTGTTGATTCAAAGTAAACAGAACAACTCTGAGCCACTGAAAAGAAATGGCCAAAATTCAGCATCATCAAAAGAACCTTTGCAGAGCACACACTGCAGGCATCTGCACATTGTAAGACATCATATTTGAAAATTATTAAAAAAGCATAAAGCTTGACAGCATCTTGATTTTCTTCCAAATGACACTGGTATTTCTTTACCACCTCCTAACATCCTAAAAAAGAGGGATTATTTTTTAAGACTTATATGCAAACCTGGAAAGCTGCTTTTTAATGGATGTACTAAACATATCTGTAGATGATCATTTTAATATATTTATTTGATAAGTTTGAATTCAATACAGCCCTTGACAAAAACATGCAATTAATTAAATATTAACTGCAATACCATGGCAACTGAAACACTGCCTTTCTCAGAGCAAGGCCTGCTAGAAACACCTGTTTTTCAGCAATATCATCCAATGTTTCCTCTGTGGCCGTATGACTCATCCTCCTCAGATTCTACCATAGTGTTTTTTAGAAGTAACATTTTAAAACTTGAGCATTAACATTTAAAAAAAAAAAAAAAGCAATCCACATAAGTACTATAAAAGAAGTTATTGCTGAAGCATTCCTGCCACAAAATCGGTGCTCTGAATCAGCAGCTGAATTCAGTTTGGAGTGGCTAATGGAAAGACTCGGCTGCTTTTTCTTGCAGGCCAGTCAGCCCCAGCCTCTGGCATCAGCAACCGCTTTCCCAGACGCCTAAGAAGGCCCTGAGTCTTTCACTACCATTTTACTGAAGGCAAGATTAAGAAACGCTCACTATCCACTTTATTAAATAAAAGAACAATTTTAAATATGCTTTTCAAATACCTGCATTGTCAAAACGCTTTGTTTTTCCACAGCTTGATATTAGTGAGGTAAAAGAAATAATGAAGAATCTTAGAGGAAAAATACAAGTGACACAGAATAACCCTATCTGTCTGAGGGCAAGGTATTTTTGGATACTATAGAGTAGTAGGACTTACAAGGATGCAGTACAAATGAACTGAAAGAAATCAGGCAGCATGAAATGGAAGCATTTGCATTATTAAATATTATTCAACTCTTACCATCTTCATTCAGGAACAATTTGTTGAATCTCAATCCACTAGGCTCTTTACCAACATATCTGTGCACATATTCGGTGCCAAGATCATTAACAGCAATAGCATATTTCAAAGGCTTCACACAGGACTGAAGACAAAATGGAACTTTGGTATCTCCGACCGAATGCCTGGTAAAAGTACAAATGAAGAGGCTTAAAATTTACTGCCTGCCACCCAGCAGGAGCAATGTTAAATGCTGCATTCATTCTTCAGCATACTAGGACTAAGAGCAAAAATAAAACAAAACTCACCAATATTAAGCTACTTTTTAAGGCAAAGAAGATGCAAGAATGTAACCAACCACCTCCATAAAATAAATAAAATGTATCACTAGCTGGACATTATTATAAATGAAAGAAAACTGGAGCAAGTTAAGAGATGAGTTTGTAACAAAGCAAAAATCACCTTAAAAACCCCGGTACTTCAAACTGCATACTCAGTAATTGGTACAGTTAACCTGCACAGAGCCACGTTTATGTCTACATGAAGATAAGTTTTTGAAATAGTTGAATTTGCATTCCTATGGATTGAAGATTTTTTTTTTTAATCATTAAAAATAGGAAATTTTACCTTTTGGAAAGTTAACTTTCCACATCAAATTTAGACTGTATAAAACAAAGACTCTTCCAAGCAGCATACGCATCACCTAGAACAACAGGATCCAAGCAACCACTTGTCTGATAGCAAAATGGGAAGTCCATTTGCTTGCTTCCTCTGCACAAAGTTTGAGAAACATTCAAAGAAATTCAGCACACAGGGCATAAGGAAGCCACCTGAGCAGAAAGCTGATGGGTAAGTTCAACACTTTGCTGATATCCTCCCCCAGAGCTCATAGATCAAATGGCTATACAAAACCCATGTGGATTTTACTTCTCTAACAACTTCAGCAAAGCTTTTTCACCACACCGCAACGTATCACCAATGTCGTACACAGCATTATATCTGAAATTTTTGAAACAAGAAGGTTTAGAAGTTAAAAGCTACCTCTGCCCATCCACTGTGCAGAGCGAGACGCCCCACAAATCCGGGCTGAACTTGGCCAGCTGGGGAATATAGTCAGCGACCTAGAGTAACACAAAACAGAACAGAGATGTTTACACAATCCAAAATATTTACTTAAGTGCTACTCTTAAGTGTTACTCCTATGTTCATTAACTAAAATGAATTGCACTTTCCATGGACATTCAAGTATAACAGTTATTCTACTAATGATCACACGGCAAACCTGAAACTTCAATATGGATTCTTTATTATATTCCTTACATCATTACCTAGTATTTTTTCTAATAAAAACATCCTTTCTAATCAAAATACCTCAAAAAACCCACAGTTGTACTTGGTCTGTGGCTCATTTTAGCCTTAGCAATTTCCGAAGGAGAAAAAGGACAGACAGACTGGCATGGACAGACAGACTGGCATGCATGCACCCCCATTTGCAATTAGGTTACCTTTCCTCCTGATTGCTTTTTAGCACTTTCATATAGCTCATCAATATGGGAAGTAAATGACATAAAATCTGGAATGACAAACTTCCTCCTGAAAGCTTGAGTGAGCAACACAATATTACTTTGTACACACCTGTGAAACGTTAGACAAAAAAAGGAAATATTAGTGTTTTGACACAGAATCGTTAAAAAAACTTCTTTAAATCGTCAGCATTTGCCACTGTGATAAAGACAGGCAGTCCCTTGATCTCATGTCTACAAGAATATACCTCTGTTGGAAAGAATTTTCCATTTCATCAATTTTAATTTTTTTAAATTATTTACCATTATTTCACTGAGTTTACTTTTATGCCTTTTTATTTCACATCTTATTTGCAATTTCAGCTCTGAAGTTGCACTGCCAGGTATCAATGTTGTTTTTTCCCTTTAATAGCATCTAAGCCTCCTTAAGGCACATATCCAAGCCACGCATTTCTTAGAATTGTCACTATACAAAGGTCTTATGATCCAGCCCTCGTTCAAACCAGCGCTAATTTCAAGACAGATCACAGCAATGAGGTTGAGGGTTGGTTTCCTTCACTTGCAACTGCTTTCACCATGAATTTGGCGAGAAAGCTACAAAAATAAAATAAAATAAAATATAAAATAAAATAAAAACAAAAAAAACAAAAAAAAACAAAATAAAAACAAA